TTCCAGTAAGTTAATATTGAAAAGTATGTGGCTCTGCAATTATTTCTTGCATTCTCCCCAACTTGGCAAAACACGCTTATTAAAAGCATGCAAAAACCGTTTAAAGAAACGGCAAAAATTTTGTACAATAAAAGACAATCTCATATTTCGTGTATAACATTTCATTGATTACTGTTTTGTAGATTTAATCATTTAATTAATCTTCAATATTTGCCAGAAAATACTAATGACAAATTCGAGATTCATGTGAGGGGGATTTATAACAAAAGGAGTAGATTCGTAACAAGTGACAAATTTTTCTAACAATGAGAAAGAATTTTTTTGCGAGTCTTAGATATATTTTAGAATTATTCCTCACTGAAAAATTATAAGATTATTTTGTAACAAACCAGATAATAAAAAAAAATAATTTTGATAAAAAAATTAAATAAAAAATAATTTTATTATATCAAACGTTATAAATCGTATCCGATGGCGACACATGTTTAAACGATACGTTGTTAAAGCAAGAAAAAAATAACATTCTCTAAAAAAGTAAAATTAATGATCAACATGATAGATATGACGTGATAGAATAACGTGTTTCATCTCTAGGACAAATTAAAAAAAAAAAAAATGATTTTTATCAGATCCATATAATAACGCTTTTTATCAAGAATATATTCTAAAAAAATTAATGTATCCTAAACTAGAATTCGATTATACCAAAAGACGATATAATATAATTATTTCCATCTTCAATTATATTAATCCAATTTTTAATTGATGGATAAAATTCACATCAATTTCGCTTTATGACATAATATACTATGATTGTTTTTATCGCTCCTTTTTAGAATCCCCGTAGTTGTGTGCGTGAAGTTGACATTTCATTTTGTCGAAACTCATAAATAATTAAAAGTGCTAACTTTATTTACAAAATTATTAAGTATAAATTAAGTACATAATTTTAATTCTCTAATTTCTATCCCCTAATTGTACATACCAAAAATGATATAAAAACTGTTTTAAAAAAATAGAACCCTCGAAAATCGATTGACAATTCACCTTTAAATTCGTAAATATGTATTTTTTCAAGTAAAATAATTATTTAAAAAATTTTTTCATTGTTTTAATTATGAGAACTCTTTAGAAAGGTATTGTATATGCCAAAAATATGACAACTGGTTTAGAATAAGCAGAACTATCGAAAATATACTGGAGTTTCACCTCGACGTCAATATTTCTTTTACTTTCAAAATGCAGAACTCTTCTTAGAACTCATGTAGAGTTATAAATCTTTTTAATTCTGATAACTGCTGATAAAGAAAATGTCATAGAACAAAGTGAGACACTACGTAAAATTGGCACTTTGTTTTAAGATATTTTCGTTGCTTTATTAGCCTGAACTATTTGTTTAAACTATCAGGAACTTATCAGGAACTGTAGAACTTGTAAATAAAGTTAGCACTTTTAATTATTTATAAGTTTCCACAAAATGAGACGGCAAGTTCACGCACACCCCGTAGTTGGCTCTTCTTAGGGAAGCGAGACGTATATCGAAAGAGTTAAAAGATATAATTTCGAGAACTTTGCCGGGGTTCAAGATGAAACTACCGTATCGCCGGCGTCTTTTCACGGTAGCTCTACAGATCCGGGGACTCGTCTTATGCTCGGTTTCTACACGATTCGAGCCTCTGCTGCTGCTGCTGCTACACGAGTGTTTGCAGTCCACTTGAAACCAGTCCCGGACGAACAAGAGCGCGCGCGCGTGCATGTAAATGTGTGTGTGTTTGTGTGCGTACGCACATAGAGGAAAAGAGAGAGATGGACACAGAGATGAAAGTAAACGAAGATATAACACCGAGGCCAGAAAGGTTGCTTAATTTATCTAACGAGGGCTCCCTGCACCTGTCATCTGAACGCGGAGATGGACGAATGAACCAAGTATGACCATCTTCCTCCCCCTTTTCCTCTTTCCATAATAATATTCCATCCTTTCCTAGGAGATACCGTTTATTTGTTTACTCGCCTACGTCATCTATCTAACATCGCACGGTTGCGCATATCGGGTTAATAATGCATGATGTGATTAAATTTGCGGCACTGCTTAAGAAACTTTCGCGCAAGGGCACTTTCAAGAGAATATAATAATTTTTTTTACTATCCGTATATATTTAGGAACAAGTCAGACCAAAGAAATTACGAAAATAAAACGAGCGATATCTATATCATTATTAAATAATGAGATATGGAGAGATTTTTTTATAGTTCGCAAAAATTTTGAATAAACATTAATTCTAAATATAGTGGAAATAATAATTTGATTATTTTGGAAATGACATCTTCATCATTAAAGAAATAAATAAAATTATCTAGAAATATACTTCGCATTATACTTAAAATTAAAAATACAAAATTGATCACTGCACATAAAACAGGTAAAAATAAATTTTGCTAAAATATTAATTTTTTTTCTAAATTCAAACTGGAAGTATAAAAATATAATATAAGTATTAACATCTTTGCGATTAAGTTCCAACTAATGAATTAATTAATTAAAAACTTTGTGATTTTTAATTTTTAAGAAATAATATTGTTTTAAAATAAAATTAAGAACGATCTACGAAGATGAAAATGCGAGCTTCTTAGGTTTTTCACGGAAAGACCATTTCGTATCCGCGACACTTACTCTCTCGAGGGTTCGGCTCTTGTCTGTGCGTGGCATTTACTCCCCTCGGTAAATCAATCACACACATTCATCGTACCCCTATGTAACGTTTTGTTTTTATGCTGGCGCATAAAGACAATCGATAGATAAGATTTGAGACACAACAGACTACAAAAATGAGATATAAATGAGCTATTATACGAATAAAATAATTACGAGAAATAAATATAATTTAAAGTTGGAGCAACGAAAATAAAATTATCGAATCAGATAGGAATAAAATGGACCAAATATTTTGCCTCCAAACCTTCTTTCTGATCATAAACGTTTGATATCTGAGAAGCAATATATTTTCAAATGGTTTCAAATTTGCAAAGTAAGAATAAACGACTTCCTCAAATATTTGACAGAATATTCAGAAAACTGCGCATATTATCTTACCATCTATTATAAAAATTTATTTACTCAACGTAAGATTTTTCTAAGCCAAACATCATCGCACAGTTTGCGCAATAAATAAATTACTGCAAAATAAAATATCGACCTTTTTTTTCTTTTAATTATATTCTCATTTTTGCCCGTATTCCGGGATTAACAATAGCTAGATGAGCGAACGCGGATCTGGAAACGCGACGAAGATAGAAGAGCGAAAGGGGCGAGGAAGTGGTGGATGCCGGGGTTAGAGGTAGGGGCACGTCTGCTAATTGGATAATTATGGAGTGCGCTGCGTTTGTTTTATAATTGGGCGCAACCCGGGGAACCGTCGACAACGTGCCAAACAACAAAACGGCCGGAGTCACGCTCTACGTGACGAACTACCCTCGGAGCTAATCCAGGGAACCGAAGGGCCCCCTTCGATGCGCTTCGCGCGTCCCACCCCCACCTCATCCGGTCTCCCGCCACCCTTCCTCACCCTCATCCTCTCTGCAGCCAAGCTCCAGCACCACCCTTGTCTCGCCGATTCATCGTTTGTCCATCCAACGACGAACTCACCACCCATTTCGTGACTACGACGACGCGAAGAAACGGCGCGCGTTCTGGTCTCACCCCCCGAGAAAAGGGGAAAAAGGTAGTAAATATAAATATACAACCCAATTTCGCTCAGAGATTATCTTACGGAAATTTTCTTTTTTTTTTACATTAAATAAATTTCCTCGAGAAATGTGCTCTTTTAAATTTAGAGAGGGTGCGCAATAAACAAATGTTTTCATCATCAAATAAGGATAATCATTAGCATAAAATGTTATCATCTCGCGCACCGAAGCTATTTTAGCTAATTAAATGCTTTTCAACGAATGTTTCTAACATCAAGTGACGCATAATAAGTGTTTGATCAGTGTTAAACAATGCTTTTGATCATTGTTAAACAATGCTTTTTTTCTAGATGTTATTTTTTAATTGATGATACTGAGATAATTGAAATAGCAATATGCTATATTCTCTTCTTCCTTTCTCTTATTTTATTATTTTATAAATATAAAAAATATCTCTAATTAGGTATTTTAAATTATTTTTAGACTTTTCATTGAGGTTTTCATTCAAGTCTAATTAAATAAAACCTACGCGTATCGTGAAAAGAAAATAAATGACTCTAATAGACAGCAGCGAGAAAACAATTTGCGTCCGGTAAAAAATCCGGAGAAATCGCACACTTTAATTTCGCGATTCTTCTAATTTTAGTGTTGTCAGAGGAGAACAAGGGATGAAACAAGTAGTGAGAGAAACTGGTTCCAGTTAGAAAACGATTGACTGACTGATTGCGAAACGCTCTTTCGTTAGGGTCGCCACGCGTGAACCTTCTCTCTCTTTCTCAGTCTCTTCCTCTTTCTCTCTCTTCGACCCTCCAATTCAATCCCTTCCCGTACTCGTGCAGCAAAGTTCCCTCTCAGCATATAAACACGTCCCGCGTATCACCTACCTACCTATCTACCTACGCCAAAAGTCTCGACGACCTGTCATCGATCGATACATCATCCCCTTTCAATCTCCGAGCAAAATTGGCCAAATAAAATAGCGTAATATGTCTTCATAATATAGCTTAAACTAGCAGTTTTATCAAATTTCTATTTCAGAGGATTCATATTTTTTTCTACTGCATTTATTAGGCATTTTTAGATCAGACGCATCGTATTCATCGATAAAAATCCTACAGTGCATTATAACTTAGAGTTATGTTTCTAAAAATTAATGAAAATTGGAAATGATATCGATGTTACATCGATAAAGAGCCATTTATATTATCACTTCATCACATGTTTCCTTTTATACTTTTACGTGTCTCTTAGGTCACTGACTGAATATGTGATCCTGATATGAGTTAGTATGCATATGTATAAGAATAGTGACTTACCATGATATTGTGACTGATATAGATTCACTGGTGGAGGAACACTCGCATATGCTGGCGGTCTGTTGTGATTTGTATGATGCCTGCAAATATAAATTTTATTTGTTAGAATGTTTTATTATATTTAACATTATATCAATACAATAGTATAACAAGATATATTCCAATGAAACACAATATTTTTCTCTAATTAGCATTTACAACAATTAAAAGAATGTTTTTTATCTGTGTCGATGTGTATGTGAATAATAATCTATACAAGTATATAATAAATATTAATACTAGTTTTTATATTTTGTATAATATGCATTATTAAATATATATATTAAATATATTTAAGATTTAATTTTTTACTTTTATTATTTATACTATTATTTTGTGCTTTTTACTTTTATATCTTGACATAAAATAATATTTAAAAATAACCTTAACATTTAATCTTTATTATTTTCAATTTATTATTATCAAGACAATTGTATCAGTCTTTGTAAAAATTAAATCATTTATATACACATAATCAGAATTCTTAAATTTCTGAATTTAAGAATTCCAAAAAGATCTTAATACATGATAACGATATTTTTAGACTTTGGATTATACGCAAATTGCATATTTGTTACTTTTTGCATATTCTACGAGAGTATTAATAATATGAATAAATTATGTTTTCAATGAATTAATATTAATTAATTGAAAACATTATTTGTTCACATTATTAATGCTTTCGTTGAATATACAAAAAGTAATGAATATGCAATTTGCATATAATCCAAAGTTTAGTCATTTTATTCATCATTATAATAAAAAATAGCAATACACACATAAAATAGTCTTTTCACAAAGACATGCTTTGCATTCTATGATTGTAATGACCATATAAGTTATACAAAATTTACAAGAAAATTTAAATTTATTAGTTAAAAAAAAAGCACCTAATCTTTCTTTAACATTAAATAGGATTCTTAACAAAATTCTTCATTATGTAATCTGACGAAATATAATTGTAGAATTTCGAGAAATAAGTATAGAAATTGAAATTTTGAAATTTATCTATCACATTATATGGGGGGAGGAAGAGGAGAGGTAAGAAGGGGAGGGGGTGTTTACAATATTCATGATATATAACTTAATTGCAATAATGATGATACTTACTCGACCATTCTGTGTCCTGCCTGTCCTAACGAAGCGGACTGCGTAGATCGAGTGAAACCGATTTGCGGCTTCCACTGATTCCCATTATTGCGATTCATAGCCTCGAAATCTTGCGGTTTCAAAACGCGCGGCGGTTCTTTAGCCCCTTTCAGTTTACGAGCGAGGAAAACATGACTGCTACTGTATTTAGGATCCCGGTATTTGACACTATTCGAAATAAATACATATTTCTAAAGAAAATGTCCACAAAACTATAATTACGCTAAATAATATTACGGTTTTAGTTAACGATACAGCGGGATACGAATAACTATTATACAAGATGGCGGCCAAAGAAAATTTTTGAATGAGAAAAATGGCGCCAATTTTTGAATTCATCGATTGATCAATCGCACGAATTAAAAAACTCGCCAAAGTTTTTCAATACCCAATCGTCACATATTTGTGCAAATGCAATTGCACTGTCAAAAGCGTAACATTAATTAATTATAACTGCGCGTCATTTAATAATATAATACATAGAATGACATTAGCGTTGATAAAAATATGCAATAAGAAATAACTATCCGTATCCTACTGTATTTGTATTATATATTTTCGTTTATAATAAAAAATATATACGAACCAATAGACCTTATTATTCCTAACTGGCAAACCTCTGACAGGTGAAGGCAATGTGCCTCCGTCACTCACACAATCATCTGCTAAAAGTACAGTGCCTCGCATACCATCTATGCTTATTTCAACCTCATTATTAGATCCTACGTGATTCGTATATAAACCTTTTATAAAATTATAATTGCTGTTCCCTAGTCCGATGTACAGTCTGTCATCACCGCGAATGTTTCTCTTCTCTAAAAATAACAATGTAATATTAATTTAACAAGATCGATACAACGCTAGCAAGCTTCAATGCAACACTTATATAAAATTTCTCTTTCTGTACTAGTATCTTCGAAACTCATGATTCAAAAAATTATACAATAGATTAACATTAATTTTGGAAACAATATTAGTTGAAACGAAATTACATTAAAATGTACTTTGATATCACTCACTTTCAGCTTCTGTTAAGCTATCATAATGTGGCGCCAAAGCTTTGAATAATCTTTTTTCATCAACAAATGGAAGCAGAGCTACGCCCTGCCATGCAAATTTCTTTCCATTTAAGTCAATTTTAAAATCTTCTGGATAAAAGTCGATAATATGAGATTTCTGTAAATAAATAAAAATAGGATAAAAATATATATACATATAAGAAACATTCTAAAATCACAAAGATTGACACATAGTTTGCCAAGTTATGAATTTGATTGTAACAACAGACTGATATGTTTTTATACTATCATGCTTTTCAATCATTCCTCTAATTGTTATACATACTGGATCGATCATTAATTTTGCCCATGGTACAGGTACATGTTTTCTACTAGCAGCAGGAAATACACCCATCAATTGCTCTAATGGACGAAACTGCAACAAAACATCATTAAATCATGAGCTAGATATGCAGAAATACATTTATATTTTGCCAAAACTTACTGGTATAGTATCTTTCTCGAATTCTGTAGAGAGACCACCAATGTTAATAAAATCGCTTGCAAATGGTGCATAGTGATAAGGGAAATACCATCTCCACGACGCGCAACCTTGATAATAATATCGCAAGACCCAACATAAACCACGTACGTATTGCAAAGCGACGTTATTCCTAGAAACAAACAAGTAAATGATTATGTGTAGCGCGTAACATAATATATCAACTCTTTAAAATAAGTTTTATTTATTAAATCAACAAACGAGTATTCACAAAAATTATTCCAACTACTTATTCATTATTACCTAAAAGCAAGGTTATCAGGAGATACGTCAAATTTAGATTCATAATATCGATCTTTGAAACCATCTTCCCAAAGTCGCACTTCATCATGCGACTGCTCATCATCATCGTCTGCTGTTGTTTCTTCAATTTTACGCTTTTGTCCTCTGTTGTCTGCATTCTACAGAATAATATATAAAAATGAAAGCAAGATATACAAGTTACAAATATATGCAAATAAAATATACGATTAAAGAACGCGATTTTTTCTCAAACGTATAAAAACGGGTCACATTGTCAGAAAAAAATAAAATTATTACCTCGGGTATTAACATGCTTTCTAAGGCATGATTAGCATTTGTACTATCAGCAGCATTCGTATTGTAATTTCTACCCTGTATACGCATTTGATAAGCCTCGTAACGTGCATTTTCTATAGGTTTTACTGCCTGTCCAAGAGCCTGCAAAGATTTCAGTAAATTACAATAATATATGTAATGTAGGGAATATTCTCAGAACTTTTTTTATATTCTTAATACTCCTTTACATTAATTTTTATATTAATTATATTAATATAATTTTTATATTAATTTTTTTATATGTTTTATATTAATTTTTCTAACAACAATTGGATGCAATAATCAACTGTTAGAAATTTTAATTACAAATCGCTAAATTATAATTAACTTGATACTAATTTCTCAGAGATATAATGTACTAAAATAAATTTGAAATCTTACAGTGGGTGCAAATTGTCCTGCAGGAATCCATTTTGGCTTAAAGTTACTGATAATTTCATTTCTCCTCTTTTTGTCTTTCTCACGTTGCTTAAATGCCAATTCATTTTGTTGTCTTTTTTTGAAAATCTCATCTTCTACATCACCAAGATCTGACATTATTAATTGTACACGATCCAAATTAACATCGCCACTCTCTGTCAAAAAACCCTGTGCAAATAATAAAAAATGTATCATTTATAAAAGATGCTTCAATTTGGCTTAAGATTAAAATGATATAGAAATATTTTCCCAACTTTACTAAATTAAAAAAAATATACATATATATATAATTAATAATCACAGACACACACACAGATATACACACAAATATATATATATGAATACAGATAAATCTAACTAAAATCTTTTTACTTCTTAATTATAATATAATAAATTATTTAACTAATATGTTATTTTGAAATAACTCAATAAATCAGTGAATAAATGATTTACTGATACTTTATTATATATTTAATTTTATTATTTAAATGTATAATTAAATGTATAAAAAATTATATATAATATACTTTTTTAATTTTATCTAAATTATAAAATATATATTCTTTCTCTTTAATTACAACTAATTAAATTTAAATATAAATCTTTTATTAATTTTTTTGATGTCAAAAAATGTAAAAAGATAAAACTTTACTCCTTTTATTTAATTTGGAAAAGATTTTTAAGAGAAGATTTAAATTTATTCTTAACAGTATTTACTCATAAAAATTGAAAAATTGAAAAACATATTAGATCTTAAAATTCAAGAAAAAATTTAAAAAAAAGTGTCCAATAAGAAATGCCTAAATGTTGGCTACTGTATTTCTTGATCAACATGATTACTAAATAAATTAATTTTTAATTTTTTTTGTAAGAAATATTACATACTCCTGTTTTATACACTGCTTTTTTATATAAAGCCACAAGTCTGTCAATTGCACCTTCTCTAATTTCTAAAGAAGGGAGATGCGGTAGAAAATCATTGCCTACGAAGAAACACATGAACACCCAATCATCAACAGCTTGTTCAAAATCATATTTGAATGGTAGATTTGGCATAGATAACTCTCTTTCTAAATATTCTCTGAGAACATTTAATCGCACAAATATGAACTGGCATTCAGATCCAAATACGGCTTCTTCCTGTCTTTGATTCGGTTCTGCACCTGTACACTCTCGCATTTCATGCCCTAACTGACCACATATATCACATGGTTTTGGCTTATTCGGTTTAAATTCTTCGCGAATAATTGTAAAATTAGGTTCGTGAGTAGCGAGACCTAACATAATTAAATCGGCGTCTGCTCCGCATAAAACATGTTGCGTGTTAGGATCGTGATCGGGTTGCGCTATAAAATAAATAAGGTTTCATAGTTTTCTATGTCCTATAGAAATATAACATAAATATAAAAATTTACCTCTTTGTCGCCGTATAAAATCCATTATTTTATGTTCTCCTTCACCAGGAACATTAGCATCACTTAATATCACTTTAATATCTCTCCAGCCTGGGTCATTATTCAAACGTTCATGAATATAATAATGTAAACAAGCTGATAATCTTGCCATAAACGGTGTGCCCTGTTAATACGGAAAACTTATATTTAAATAATTACATAAGTTTTATAAATATTTTTATAAATAATATACAAATTTTTATTAATAAAATCTCAATTTAAAATTAAAAAATAATTAGGAAATTTTTTAATTATAAAAAAAGTATAAATATATAACTTAGAGTTCTCAAATATTACATTGATAATTTATGTTATTATTTAAATATTTCAAATAATATATTTCTTAATATTACAAACCGGCGTGATGCAGTTACTGTCAAAATGCTCTTCCTTTGGTTTGTCAGGAGGCAAAGGCGCCCCTTTAAGGGCTAATTCAGAACGTATTCTTTGTATTTCATTAATTTTCTCTGTTGTTTCTTTCGATGCTCGAAATCGTCGAGATCTTTGTTGATTCATTTTAGCTCTGGGTGCCTATATGACAATACATTGCATATTGTTAATTTTTTCTTTTTTTTTATATCTTATATACAAAAATACTTACAACTCCATCAATTGCCATGTAAAGCAACTTTCTTGGTCTGACAATGCGAAACAATCTGTCAATGCATTCAAAAATAGCCTCCATCATTTCGTCCTCATCTTTCGGTGCTGGTCTGTTTTGTACAAATAAAACATCATAGAAAACTTAAAGATATTTACAAGATCTTGCTTACTCACTTATCCTCCGGATGCGTACAGGGATGTATTATGCCATTCATGTCAAGATACAAATTATCAAATTCCACCCATTTGGATTTGGATCGGCAGAATTTATAGGGACACATACTCCATCTGCGTTTATTGTCTAGAAATATCAAAATTTTAATAATACTATATTAATATATAAAATTTAAATAATAATATATTTACATAAAATAAAAAAATGATTCAACTATATAAGGTGTTCCTGAAATAGATTGTCTCATTCATGATGAAAAATTATAAAAATGTATAGAAAATTTACAGCTTTGATAAGATGGATAGATATTGCTTTTTAATTTTAAAAAATTGAAAATAACATTCACATAGTGATGCACATTTTAAATCAGCATTTAAATTCAAATAAACTAATACTTGCTCCAATGTACAGATTTATTACTATATGATACAATATAAAACTGTTAACTTATCAGAACGTGTGCTGTTATTGTTTATTACTAATGTTGATACTGCAATTAATATTAAGAAATTGAAATATTTAATATTTCTAATCTTAGAGATTCTTCATACAGACATTTACAATTTGGAAAGAAAAAGTTTTTATGATTATACAATCTTTTTTACTTTCAAAATGAAATACATGTTTCCAATTAGCGACTTAAGGAATACTTTATATAGACAACTATATATATATATATAATATAGAGAATTCTTTTAAATTATATAAATTTCCAATAAATATTCTCTTAATTTCCTTAATTTAACTTAAAAAATCTGAAAAGCTGGCACATCTTAAATATTATTTGATAGATGACAAAATATTATGTGAAAAAATCATAACGTTAAAAACACAGAAAATATACAGTTGTCCTTTTATACTAAAAAAAAAAAAAGTATAAAATATAAAATTCTATGCTTAGAAAAGCATGTATAGTCATATAAATAACATATGATTCAATAATATGGAAAGTCTTCTATCTTTATAATAATTGAAAGTCTTCAAAATAAAAAATCACGAATATTTTCACAAAAGAAAATCATATAATTTCTCAATTTCATATAGGTATATCGAAATTATAATGTTTGTGTTATATCTTATGAGATTTTTGGCCGTAGGAGTAAACAAATACTATTACATTTTTAAATTATAGATAGCATTTTTCTTTATGAAACTATATTGGTTTTTTTTAATCAAAATGTTGCGTTTATTCGTGCAACGAATATCGTTTCATAAAGAAAAATGCTATCTATAATTTAAAATGTAATAGTATTTGTTTACTCGAACGGCCAAAAATCTCATAATATATAACACAAACATTATAAATTTCGATATATAAATACGTAACGCAAATAAAAAACTATTGAACAATCTAACCTACCTTTTGCTCGATGCACTCGACGATTACAGAAGGATACTTTCGACTCAACCAACGAAAAAATGCTGGTACACCCATCTTTACTTTGAAAGTTACTCAGGCAAAACAAAGTTATATCAAAAATTTTGTAATCTCACAGTCACAGCACACTAACGTGAAAATATAAAATAACACATTATTATTTATATCAATATGTAGGTGCCTAACCTATAGACGCACTTTGATATTTGCTTCGACCATAGAATACAAGATAAAACAAGATTTACGTTTGCATGAGAAAAAATGTCGAACATAGCGATTGGCTATTGAATAGTGACTTTCTAGAGTTTTTTTGGGGGTTGCGATCGACCAATTACATTACAGATTAGCTTCGCTCTGATTGGTCAAATTTAAGACAGCTGTCATGTGAAAAAATTCAGTTGTAAGACGAAAAACGAGTTTAGTTCGTTATATTATATCAATTTTTAATCACGAAGGGCACATTTTTTAATAAGATTTATCTATCTCTCTATTTGCTGCATTTTTATTTAATAATTTCGTACGTTTTGTATTTACTCGTGTTTCATTTTAAAATTGATAATAAATATGAGTTGGTTAATAATTTCAGATAATCATTTCGATCGAACTATAATTAAAACAATGTATTGGATTCTTTATATCTTAATTAATAAGTCCATTACCTCTTCTTTATTATCGTTTGATTAGAATTATATAATTACAGGTGAAGTTGAAAGTTGGCACTACTTTTTGGCGGTTAACAGATCAAAGAGAACATATCTTGTTTAGAATTTAATCAGAAAAACATCTTGAATTTAGGATTTATTTTCAGCTTATACGTAAGTATATATGAATATTTTGATAAAAATATTCAAAATCATTTGTCACCTCAAATTTTCAACGTGTAAACTTTTTGTTTTTATTTATACGTGTGAGACATTCCAATGCTTGTATCATTACAATTATCTATTGTCATTATTATTTTATATATATCGACATTTCTTTTTATACATTATTGGAATATCAAAAAAAATTTTTTTTTTTTTATCAAGTTGTATAAAACATTCCTATTATCATGTATTTTTATGATATCTGTTAAAACAGAAAATACATTTTAGGTTAGAAAATCTGTTATTTCGATCAAGTATAAACACATACAAAATTAGTAATCAATATTTTATTTATATTTTATGTTTAAATTTTGAACATGTATGTATTCGTTACAAATATGTTTTTGTAACAATGTTATAACCTTTTTATGAAATTATAGAAATTTTTACTTTTTATTAAAAGTCTGATATTTCATGTAATATATATCATTAAAATTACATGAGAAATACCTATGCACACACACACATATATATATATATATATATATATATAATAATTTGTAATTACATATTTTATTTTTATTTATTTTTATTACATTTTCTTTATTTCATTTTTAATATGTTCTTTCATTATATAAATATATTAACTTGTTACTTTACTAAAATAAAACATTTAGTTAAAAATTGTGTTATTACAAATTATAAAAAAATTGTAAGCTTATAAAAATTTTTCTATATTATCATCAGTAATTTTTTTCTTTAGATCAATTTTTTTATCTTAATTTAAAATTTAATAATCGTCTATCACAATTGAACTTTTTTTTTTACTTTTTAGTTACTAAAATAGTTGAGATATATGTTATAAATCAGCTTTGTACATGGCCGATTTTAAATGTTTATTATTTAAAATATTTAGAATTAAATAATATTATTTTCTTATGAGTGTTTTCCTGTTTTTCTTTAGGTTATACCTATTTTGAGATAATTGGTTTGATTATTTTATTTTAAAACAGGAAGATGCCAGTAGATCAAATTCAGTATTCTGAAAAGTACTGCGATGATAAATATGAATACAGGTAAACTTGAATTATAAATAAATTTGAATTAAATATATCTAATGAATAATATAACAGAAGATGTTATTTAAAAAGGTAAACAAAATAATTATTAAAAAATGGACATTTTATATTATAGTCAAAACGGAAATGTTTTTTTTTATAAAATATCTAAGAAAATTGTAATTTTATAAATATTTGATATAATTAATATAGCATACATCTATTTTATAATACATATAGTATTCCTAAATTAATTTGAAAATTTAGGAATGCTATAATTGAAAACCCCTTATTTAATTAAATTTAACATAAATTGAACTAGATTATTTAATTTAGATTTTTTATTATTTATAGACATGTCATATTGCCAATTGATATAGCCAGACATGTACCAAAGACTCATCTTATGACAGAAACAGAATGGAGAAATTTAGGAGTTCAACAGAGTCCCGGATGGGTTCATTATATGATGCATGGACCAGGTATAATATAACAAATAAAAAATGCATGAATTTTAATTTAAAAATATTACAAAGAATTTTAATATTGTCTTTAAATACACAAAATATATTTTTGCTTTTCAGAACCACATGTTCTATTATTTCGCAGACTGAGAACCGATCTTCTACCAGCTAGATGTGCTATTTCACAGAGAGAACATGTGTGTTGTATGGAATGTAAATAAACTTGGAATAACGATTAAATGTGAGATTATATACGAATGTAACAAGTAAGATATACATATATATTGATTTATAATTTACTACATTTATAAGTGTATGTTAAAGATAATTATTAAATGAGCATAGAAATTAAATTTTTTGAGTTTTATTGCTTTTCTTTATTTCATATTTAAAATAAAAAAATAGACAATTTAATTCAATTTTCTAATTTAACCTAAATAACAGAATTATTTAAAGAGAATTATATTCTATTATATTCAAAATAGTGCGCTCAAAAGTCGAAAACTAAACTACATTGAGATTATTTGCTTTGTATTTTATTTTTAAAAAATTATTAAAATGCCAAAGTTATCGAAATCGTGATATATTGAAATAAATTTTATTAGAATTAATTATAAAATTATGTTTATAATGGAAAGATATACTAGAGTTACCTATACAGCTTGTTTAAAAATTCTTATTGAAATGCAATAAGTGAATAATGCTAATTTAATACTTTTTCTTATAATATAGTACACCAAGATCGAAAAACAAAATTATTGCAAAGATGTAATAAATACTTTACAATTATATCTATGTTCAATTAGATATACAATTTCGATTTCATTAATATAATTAATTATAATATATATATATATATATATATATATATATATATATATAACTAATAATAATATAATATAGTATAATAGCAATAATATACTATAATAGCAGTAATAATAATATATATTTAATGATCTGATAAATGCAGATTAGTATATCAATTAGCTTGTTAAGCTATTATCTTACAACAATTAATACATGATGAATCCATATATTAAAACAACATGTAAATCGATTTTTACACATGCAAATGCATTTTATCTAATAAATTCTTTTAACTTAAAAAAATGAAAACAGTATTTGTCTTAACAAATTATGTAAATGTACTTTGATGGCATAAATATTGCATTATTAAAATTTATTTTTGCTTGCTTATCCAATCTTGTCAATTATGTAAATGTAACATATAATTAAATCGACTAATGTTTTTCATTTACATATATTATTTGCACGCTGCGTGCACTGCATATGCGTGCGAATAAACATATATTTTCCATATAATATATAATACATATAGTTAAATTGATTATACTTTTATCTTGTTAATAAGCATGCGTATCAATTCTTACGTAATACGTTCTGTATCGCATCTCTTGCTTTTTGAACACCCAGACGAATTGGCCGAATTCTGGACGAATCTTCATTCCACGATAATAATACATCAAACTCATTTCGAAATCGCCGAGATGATAGAGAGCCTCCGCCTTGCAGTACACCGCTTTAGCGTTACTAGAATCTTTAGGATTCAATCGTAAAGCTGCTTCAGCGTCGTCCAGCGCCTTTTGAGGATCACCCAATAAAAGATGACATTTGCTTCGTGCTATTAAAGCGTTCTTGTCATTGGGACTCATCTCCAATGCCTATCAAAATAAATTCTTGCATTATTCTAACATCTCATTATTGCATGAATTATAAAATTTTGATGAAATTGGCACAGATGGAGAGAAAAAGAAAGAGAGACAATGTTAAATGAAAGATGTTAGATGTTAATAGAAAAGTGATTCTTATTTATCATTATTTATTAAGTTTTATTTATTTTTTAAATTTTATTAGTATAGTATTTATTAAGTTTTATTTATTTTTATTATTTATTAAGTCAACTTTATTTCATGATGTATATAAATTATCACAATCGATTTAATTATATATAGATAGGAGATCACGTTTATTCGCATGAATATATACTGCTCACGTCAACACGCGATTAAATATATGTAAATGAAGAGCTAAATCACTCGCTTTGATTGACTAAAAAAATTAATTGTGAGGTACGACGAAGCGTACAAATTAATGAACCTTATTAATGCAGTTTACAGCGACGTTAAAGTCACCAAAGCGCATTTCGCGCAGACCAAGTGTCAGCAACGCTCCAGGCTCGGTCTCCTCTGGGATTTGCAGATTCCTGCTGCGATCTTGACGTTGCTTCATCTTCAGAGACTGCTTTATGTCCGTGGTACCCATGTTCACGGCAGCTGCCCGATCTTTATCGGTGTACACCTCTTCCTGTCGACGACCATCGCCGTCATACTGACGTCATTTCTTCCTTCTCGACTTCTGAATTCTCATCTCCGACTCAACGGTGGAGGTTTCCGTCTTATTTGTCTTTTCTTTTCTACCCTCGGAGCGAAAATTGCTCTTACGACTGTCGTTATTCTCGTTACTGTTTGCCTTTGTCGAATATTTCCTCGAATGCGCCTCCTTGGTCGGTTCCACGAACTCTTCAGCATCCTGTTTCGAGTCGGAGCCAATGTCCACGTCTGTTCGCACGTAACTTTGTAACAAATCGTGATGATACAACATAGGATTCAGGATGCCCTTGACGTGATGCTCAACCGTGTTCGCTGCATCTTTGCTACCAACGTCCCGAGATATATCGTCGCTCATTTTTAATATTTTCGTTGATGAGGGTTTTACAGATATTGTATTCGATTACGGATTAGAATATTATATTCCAATGAGCCTAATTTAGAGGTATACTCATTCTCTTTCTTTTTCGTAGGTTTCTTTTTACGTAACTGCAGAAAACAAAGAGATGTTCCTTGTTTAAGGGAACAAAAGCTTTTTGTCCTACGTGCCAAAATACGTGTGGATGTCGACACTTCCCCAAATAGGAAGCTCGTTTCCTTAGAAACGGATAGAACGGTAACAACACCGACAATAAGTCACAAATATGGTAAATATCTATAGATTTCCTCATTGTAGTTGAACTTCTTGCACCTTTTGTTTTTCCTCTCCTTATCTTCAACTTATAAATATATATATATCTTATATCATTTTTAATGTATTTTAGTACAAAAAATTTACAAAGGACAAATTTTACATTTCGCGATTATATGAAACATGAAAAATATGCATATGATACGTATGTGATGATAAGATGCTCTCTATCTTTATTCGTATTCTTAAAGATGAAAAAAGATCATATAATCATAAGCTATCTTTTTTTAAATCTTAAATGCATAAATATATAAAAATATTAAATTATCATACTTATGTCATTAATATTAAATTTAAAACCACACAAAAAAATAATAGAAATGCATAATATATATACATAATTTTAATATATGTATGTACTGTTTATGTACTATAATTGTGTACTGTTTTCTCTCTTTCTTTTTCTTCTGCATGGCCAAAATATTAAAAATATAGTATAAATTATATTCAGTATAATGTCATAATTTTTCTTTTAACATTGAGTAACACTATATTTAAGCAATAATGCCTTTAATTTTACCAAGCAGTTTTTAAGAGCAAACTTCAAACTTTAAATACACACACACACGCACTATAATATAGTAATTTATTTTAATAAATAGCTATTATATATTCTATGTTTATTTTTATAAAACTTATTTTACAAGCTTATTTTTCTATCTTTCAATATTTTACTATAGTTGATTAAGAGTTAGTAGAAAGTTAGTTTATAAATATATATTTGTGACACTTACTTGGTTATACAGAAACATAGCTTTATTGTAATTCCCATTTTTTACATGAACAGTTGCTTCGTTTACTAACAATGTATTTCGTATAATAAGAGAGGTCTGCTTTACTTGTGTTGCTGATTGTTTTTTCGAATGATGTACCATATCTGGATATTCCTACGATATCTGTTCAAACGTTAAAATCATTCAATTAACAAATATATATTAATCTATCTATTATAATCTATCTATTATAATAAACAGTATACATGTATTATAAAGGACGACGCTTTCTCAACATTTTCGGAAAGACAGAAATAAAGAGATCGAGAAAGGGAAAGAGAAAGAATAAAAATTAATAATAATATATATAATAAAAATTATAATAAAAAAAGAAATTGCAAATAAAAACTAGAAATAAAGATTATGATCGATAAATGATGATGCGATATATTGGCAATAAAATAACTTTAGAAGAGAATGTAAAACTTTTAAATCTAATCCCTTAGTAAAGAAATTAAACGTAGTATTAATATTAATTTACTTACGATTTTGCAATATCACTTATAATAATAATTTAAAATTACGAAAAATGTACGTGTGATCTTTATAATTATTCCCCGTTTAAATAAGAACAATTTGATGGTAAACTTATATTACAAAATACATATGTCGGCGAACCGTAAAACCACAATGAAAAGCACAACGGCCATCGTTCTAATCGGGTCGCTGCCTAACGTCTTAAAATTCTTCATAACTTGCAAGCAAACTTGTTTCCGTTTGTACTTTTTGTCTCCCTACCTACAAAATGCATATTAAGAAATAATCGATAGAGAAGCGTAAGAAAAGGACGCGGTCCTTTTCTTACGCTTTTCGAAAAGAAGGATAACTAGACGACTATTCTTATTCTTTTACTACCACTACCATATATTACTGTATATGCATATCTCCGATATCGCTAACGGAAAAGCTATTATAATGGTTCGCATGCTTCTCTCCTATCAATCCATTAAATTGTTATTGTCCTTGCTTGATTATTTTTGTGTCATTTCGTCCGCAGAGAAACGCACGCGATCTGCATATTGATTGATTCTTCGTATTATGTTTTCAGCAGTTCCTAGAGACAATTTGCGAGCGACGAGGATAATTACTCATTGTCAGAACACAACAATCCACAAATTACGGATAATTATGAAAAACTAAAAGCATGAAATATTCCGTGATCCTACGGATAATATGGCTATGTCATGCCTCGGCTTTGCATTATTTGTACACTTGACAAAGCTTCTTCAATATAGGTCTATAACGATGTCTCTCAATAGGGGATATTGGTGCTCTGAGCAAGTAAACTTAATTATCTATGTCATTCCGAAGTATTTTTACAGACTGGTACCAATGTATTTATTGTAAAAAATATGAATCTTTTTGGCAAAGTTTTTAACTTTTGGCAAAAGTTTTAATATATATTTTATTTTTAAATTTATTTTTTTTAATATACTAATACGCAGTGAATTTCCTATTTCTTAAGTTTCTCGTTTTGTATAAATAATTTTATAAAGGCAAGAAGTTCTAATTAATAACTTAAATTCTTTTGAGAAAAATGTGAAATTTGTTTCTTTTGCATCATTGAGATATTATATAGGTATTATATTCTTTAACTTATTTTTAAATATTTTTAACTCTTCTTTCTTATGTCTGAATTTAATATTGATATTGTATATATTATTATTAATGAAGAGAGAGTTAATATATATATATATATATATATATATATGATGTTAAAAGAATATATTATAAATATTTAAATATAAACTATATTAAAAAATTAAGAGTTTTCCAATATTACATAACCGCGTTGCAAGAAAAATTTTTTGTTAATAAGATATGAAATATCTCATGACCTATATTTTTCTATAGAGAAATATATTATCATAATAATTATATAATATATTATCATAATAATTATATAATAATTCACCAAGTAAAATGTCCTTTTATTTTCCTCGTATTACTATATAATAAACAGCGATATATTATATGGTCATGTATATTTAATCGTTTGAATTTTAAATTTCGATATAATCGATATATCGATTATAATAATATCGATTCTAAGTGACGTAATGATATGATTTCAGGTTACGGCAAGAAGACGCTACAAATGCTTCGTCAATCCAAATGATAAAGAATTCTTTATCCTGATTGGTCCATGCAAAGCATCTAGCTTTACCTGCATCAAGAAAAATTGTCATGACTATTCTTTCTGATGGCTTGAGTGGTTGAATGTGTTGATAAACACACTTGAGAATTAATTTAGTCGGATGTACTTTGAACTTAATTATATCACATATGTGAAGTAGAGATTGAATGTCAAAGTACCAGATAGGAGACATTTATGATATATTTCCCAGTCTTTAATTTGCAAATTTGGATTCAACAACACTCAATTTTAACTCTGTCGTCAGACAAATCCACGTATATACTTTTCGAGTGCCACAACCTACATTTAATACAACGTTAACATATTGTAAAAACTTAAAAAAATGATTAACACAGGGTAAGTTTAACTTTATAATCATGAACAGATATATAAAATATTCATCATTGTTACAATCATATATGATTTGTATATATTTGTTGTTTTAAATAGGTTTATTTCTATACAATTTATATAAATTTAAAAGAATATATTTTTAATCTATGTTGTCTTAAATGTTCATTAAAAATCATAATTTATGCTTTTCCCCAATTTTTTAAATTAATAACAAATTTATTGAATTTTGCATAGAAAATTTGAAACTATTTTAAAAATGAATTATTTGTGTGATTTGACACAATATTATAAACATTGAATTCTAAAAAATAAAACTTACAATTTAAATTTCGCAGTTTTTTTTAATTTTCTACATTTATGTCAATGTGATATATTTGTTATATTTCTCATATTTATCTTATATTAAAGAAAAGAAAATGATACTGATTTTTACCAATTATATATGTGATGCAGGAAGTTGGCTGGTCGCACTATTTTTATTACAGGAGCTTCAAGAGGTATTGGAAAAAGTATAGCATTGAAAGCAGCAAAAGATGGTGCAAATATTATTATAGCTGCGAAAACTGCTCAACCGCATCCAAAGCTACCGGGTACTATTTACACAGCAGCTAGTGAAAGTAATTATCATTTATTAATTCTTCAATAGATTTAGATTACTATAAATCGTATTTTATTTTTATTTTATATTTATATGATAAATATCATTAGATATGTATTATATAAGAATTTTTTAATATTATAAACTTATACAGAAAATAAATTTTTTAGTTGAAGCGGCTGGTGGTAAAGCTTTACCTTGCATTGTGGATGTGCGTGATGAAGCACAAGTGATTGATGCGGTGGAAAATGCTGTCGCAAAGTTTGGCGGTATAGATGTTTTAGTGAATAATGCGAGCGCTATTTCTTTAACGGGTACCCTCACAACTGAAATGAAAAGATATGACTTGATGAATAATATTAATGCTAGAGGAACTTTTCTTGTGTAGGTTTTGTTTGTTATATCACGATGGTTTTGATGTTCAAGCTTGTAACTTGTTTATACATATATAATATAATAGTTATATATATATATATATATATATATATATATAATAGTTATAATAGTTAAATAAAACAAAAACGGGATATATTAAAATATCGCACATTCTATAATTCACGTTGCAATAAAATTGTTCTAGATCAAAAGTTTGCATACCATATCTGAAAAAAAGCTCAAATCCGCATATTGTTAACATAAGTCCGCCACTAAATATGAAACCAATTTGGTTTAAAAATCACGTTGCATATACAATGGCCAAATATGGAATGTCTATGTGTGTTCTTGGTATGGCGGAGGAATTAAAACCTGATGGCATTGCAGTTAATGCTGTTTGGCCAAAAACAGGTATGTTGATACTGTACTCTTATTAAACATGACAAGAAAATAATTATAGTATTTATAGTGTGTTAGACGAATATTAGCATATTGTTTCAAATATAGAAAATACAGTAATATTAAATTAAAATTATAATAAATCGTTTCTATTGAGCTTGTTTATTGTGTGGAAAAAATGTAAATTTAGTTATTTTAATTGTGTTCTACAGACATTTTCCTTCTTTTTTTCCAAAGTTATGTAAATGTTTGATGTAGTTCAAAAAGAGTCGACTTTGTATTAAAAAAAAAAGATAATGAAAATCTTTGTTTTTTAAACAATTGTTATTTAATCGACTTTGAATCGACAATTTATAATTTAAGACTGCATGCGTTACATATATTAGACGATTTATTATATAAAATTTATTTGTATTACCTTATTTTCAGCTATATATACTGCTGCGATGGACATGTTAACAGGTTCAGATTCGAGTGATGTTTGCCGAAAACCAGAAATTATGGCAGACGCGGTTTATGCCTTGCTTTGTAAAGATAGTAAATCTACTACTGGCGAGTTTTTGATTGATGAAAACATATTAAGAAACGAGGGCATTACTGATTTTACAAATTATGCATGTAATCCAGGTATCATTTTTTCCACTTTATAAATAACACAAAAATTAAGACATTATTATAAATAATAATTTATGAAGTTTTCATATTATTTTGTATTGTTATTCAAATCGTTTCTTACATATAAAATATTTATAAAAACATGTAGAAATTATTCAGTATTATAAGTTAATAATTGTTTTTGCAATAAACATTAGTAATTTTTTCTTTAGCAAACAAGGACAAGTTAATGATGGATTTCTTTTTGGACGATGATAACAATACTTTGAACATCGAAAATAAGAAACAAAATTCAGACAAAACAAATAATAATGAAGTGGGACAGATGGAACGTATATTTATTGCAATTAATCAACATTTAGATAATGATCTAGTAAACAGAACTAATGCAATATATCAATTTAATGTAAAAGGAAAAGAAGCTGGTGTATGGTATCTAGATTTAAAAAATGGAAAGGGTGCAACTGGAAAAGGAGAACCAAGTCAACCAGCAGATGCAATACTTACAATGGATTCAGAAAATTTCTTTGCCATGTTTTCAGGTACATATGGATTTTAATGTTATTTTTTATATATATATATATTCATATATTCACTGTATATATAATATATTGTTAATATAATTATATTTTAATTCTTTTAACCTTGTTTTATCAACAGGTAAACTAAAACCAGCTGCAGCATTTATGACAGGCAAGTTGAACATTAGTGGAAATCTGCAGAAAGCATTAAAATTGGAAAAATTAATGAGCAATTTGAAATCTAAATTGTGAAATGGAAATACGATATAACGTTGTTGAAGAATATCACATATTTTATATTTTTGTATATGATAATATAGAAAATGTTTCAATAATTTTTTTTTTAAATAAGCATTAAAATGTATTTTGTATAAGCGCATCACATTTGCAACTTCTTCCATAAAACTTAGGCAAGCATATGTTAAGTCAATTGCATCTTTGACTAAAACTTGTTTGCCTAATTTTGGCATTAATATTTCTTTAACAAAAATTTCCTTTTAAACGTCATTTTTTATTTTATAAATGCTTAATTCAAAAAATTATTTATAACCAACTTTTAATAGTCTTGTGAAAAAGTTTTGTATGAAATAAAGTTTAAAATTTTGTTTCTAAATTATCAAAACTTACTAAAAACACTAATCGTTTAATTTTCAATTCGAAACTACTATTATTTTAATATTTTTCTCAAAGAAATATTGATTCCAACTCGAGGTTATAATAATTGTTCAAATGTAAATATAAAAAACTAAATGCAAATTGCTATAAATTTGTACTATATTATAATATTAATATCAGTATTTCTGGTTAACTTACTTGATTGTTTCTATCTTTGCATCTTTGTATTTTAGAAATTTTATAATGTGTAGCACACAAATATATTTTATAAAAACAAAAAAATTATATATATATATAATATAAAATTGTATTTTTATAAAGTATATTAATATAAATGAGGATTATATTAAATATATTGTTATCAGTGTAGGAAAAATAGATATAATATTGTATATCGAAAAAATAAATTTTTTATATATATTTTAACAATTTATTATTTATTATAATAACAATCCATAATAATAGATCGTGTAATTCACATTTAAATGTGAATGTAATTTTTTATAAGACTAGATAAACTCACACAGTTATTTTAGAATTTAAAATACTGTCTGTGAGTACTCTTGCTTCTTCATAAACGCCAAAGAATATGAAACCTCCTAATGTAATCCATGCTATTCTTGGTCCAAGTCCAGCAAACAGGCTATAATATTAACACATTTAATGTATCTTTACAAAAGTATTACTAAGAATATTTCCAAAATATTAGAGTATATTTTTCAATTTTATAAAAAAAAAAACTTGAAAAATACTTACCCACGAAAACCACTTTCTAGATATGTTTCATGAAGTATATTTAATACTGTCAGTTGTGATGAAAGCATTGTTCTATTAGCAAGCATTATCCTTGTTTTGGCAACGTCCAATGGAGTTGTAACAGTAGCGGAGATACTTCCTAAAGTCACATATTTAGATACACAGATTAAACAGACAATAATCTATTTGTACAATATGTAATAATATAGATAGAATATTATAAAGGCGCGACATTTTCTATATATATATATATATATATATATATATATGATATCTAAATATATTTTTGTCAATATATAAAATCTATAATTATGTAATTATGTATACAATATATAAAATTATATATAATATAAAATTTATTGATAAATATAAATATTCATGTCATTTTTAATTTAAAATTCTAAAATTTTTATTTAAAAATATCATTTACATTGAAATAAACGTAAAAATTTAATATTATTTAATCTAAAACAGATTATATTTCTCATATAAATCTCTTAATACGCTATTATTACTCGTTTAACTGATTATCTCTTCGCAAAATATAATCTACTAGACAACACATTATTAATGCATTATTAATAATACAAAATAGAAACCTGAAATTGCTCCGCAAATTGCACTTTCCACAGGATATATCTCTCTCTTCATGCGAAAACTATAGCACTTCTTCAAATATTCCCATAAGGGAAATTGTACAATACTAAAAGGTGTGTCTCGTAAAACCGTACTCCAATATCCACGGTACAGTAACTTAAGACCAAGTGGTTCCTTGTCATATATCAGTGCCTGTTTTCTTTGCTTTGTGACTTCCACTGGAACTCGTATTAAACATGCTACCTTTGCACATAAAATAATTAAGATAAATATATACATAATTAAAAAAGCTTTGCTTTTACCCACACAGACAACAAATAAATTAATTAATCTTTAAGTAAACATACATAATATGTAAATTAAATAATTATTATAGCATTTTGATTTTGAATATTAAATTGTATAGCTGTATTAGTTTATTCTTTTTCATCTTTTAATTATTAATATAAAGGAGGATATAATATATAATTATTAAAATAATACCATTTCTCCTAATGTTGCTGCTCCCATGTGAAGTACTGTATAGTAATTTGCAGAAATCTTTGGTTGTATTATAGTTTTAATTTCTTCATATGTTAAAAAGAATAATGCAGCTAAAATATGAGAAAAAGAAATTTATATGTATACAAATTTTAAATTTGGTATTGCATACACATACCTGTTGGTGCTGAACCAACTATGACTGGATAGATTCCTTTATAAAGACCTGTAAAACCTCCAGCCCTTAAAAATCCTTGTACACTCTGCAATCGAGTTTCAATGTATCTAGTGGAAATAATGCAATATCCACAAACGTTCCTGCGGCACCTCCTGCCTAAGCAAATAATTATATAATGTAAAATATATAAATGTACAAGTACATAACTTTATTTCTTTATTATTGTTTTACATTATAGTCACAATATATAGAGAAAATAAAAAGATTGTGACATAAATTTTTCAATGCGAGAATCAAAAGATAGAAATATAAAAAAAAAGTTAGAAAATTTAACATTTCATTAGTTATCTCTATCATTTGATAGAAGATTTTATTTGACATTCTGAAGATTGAAATAATCATTAAGGACAAATAAATATTAATGAATCAACAATTGAGTTAAAATAACTTGAATTAGTTTTTTACTTCCAGTGTGTTTGTTGTATTTTAATGTGATAGACTCATTTAACATATTACTTGTGAATGTTACAACACGATAAAAAATATATTATACAAATACAATGTTTTACTCACGATAAGCGAGGTAATAAAAATATTCCGCACGTTCGTTCCTTCTGTTTTTATTTCGCTTTTCATTTTGTTTTTCCGTACAAATTCGGCAAAACAACTTTTGTATGCAATAGTAACTTTCGTAGGCAATTAATTGACTGGATTGTGTAAATAATTGTGTGAAAAAATTACTTTATCACAGTGAAATTTAATCTATAATGCAAATTTCAATAAAAAAAATATATATATATATAGTTTTCTTTAATTCATATCCACTCACTATATTTTTATTGAAATATATATTTATTAATAATATAAATATATATTTCAATAAGGAGTTTTTCCAGTTTGAATTATATTATATATTTCAATAAAAATATAGTGAGGTTAGAAAACTGTCAAAACGTGTTAAACGTGTTTCTTAAAGCTTAGGGCTTACTACACCTAGGCTGCGTTCGTAAACGTTACCCGCAGGGTATAAATGTCTCTGAACTCGTTCAGAAAGTCGAAAAATACATTATGGTGGAAAAGTTACCTTTACCCACATGCGTTTAGAAAGTTCTTGAGGAATTACCCAGGTGTCCTTATGTACCCTGCTCGCGACTGAGGTAGAGTTACCGTCATGCGCAGAAACAGCACTTTTCACATTTTACACAAGAATTCCGTACCAGGGGAAAGACCTCTCTGTCCGTACGTGAAATAAGTGAAATTACAATAGTGTACCAAATATGTCTAATTGTAAGATATCACAATCCCAAGCTTTGTATAAAGTTATAGAAGGTGCCGATAGAAATCCAATTTTCAACGCAGAAATGTCGGAAGTTTATTTACGTGACAATAAAAGTAAGTTACAAAATATATGTTTAGAAATTTGGTACATTTATTTCGCCTTTTGTTGTGTCTTAATAGACACGACAAAGAACGAATTATGCTTAATAAATGCTTAATATCTAGTTCCTTTGTAAAAATTGCTTTGTATAATTCTCAAGTTAATTGTTAAAAAACGTTTACAAATAACATAACCTCTTTTAATTATATTTTACAGCAGGCAGAATGGCTTATATTCCTTTAACGGAATATATTATTGAAACTTTGCTCAAACCGTATGGAATAGAAATTATGTTACCCGAAAAAAATGTTGATACAGAAAATTCATCTCGCTGTTCGACATCTATCTTAGAAGAAACTGAGAACATAATATTGATACCCTTAGAAGAGAGCAATGAAAAGTTCTGGATAAAGGAATGAAAAACTTATGGACAGATAAAAGTAGAGCAATGCTGCTACATTTGTACAAAAAGTATCAAAATGATTTTAGTTCCAATTGCATTAAAAGGACGATATCTGGACTAAAATTGCCTGTGGTATGAAATGCGAAGGCTATAATTTGTTGCAGCACAATGTAAGAAAAAATGAAATACATGAAGAAAAAGTATTTTAAAAAAATAGATAATATGGGTCCTAAAAGTACTGGTGCAGCACCAGTAAAATGTGATAACTTTGAGGAACTCGATGAATTGTTTGGAAATAAACCCAATGTTATTCCTGTTGCAATAGCAAGTTCATCGAATGACAATATTAAGTTTGAAGGTATGATAAATATTATTATTTTATATAAATGTATTTGGTTAAGAATTTGTTTACATTTATTATAAGTTACATTATTATTTACAGTTACACAGAAAGATCTTGATGATGCGAAAGATAATAAAAAAAAACAACGAAAGAGAGCGAGTACAATAACTCTCAGTGATTTACAAGTTATACTTGAAGATAAAGAAAACGCAAAGAAGGCCAGGCACGAAGAAAAACAAGAACTTCTTCGACAAAGTATAAGTTCTTATGAACGCATGATGGAAAAATTAATGGAAAAGCTATAAAGCTGTGATAAGATTATTTAATATTGTTCCGTCCGGCTCTGCAATACATTTTATATAATGATAAGTATATCAGTATTAATTTAAATTATAAGAAGATTTGCATCCAAGAAAAATGAGATTGAATAGTTAATGATTAAAAAATTGTTTGAATTAATACGTTTTTCTTTTAGCGACACAAGTTGACACAAGCTGACACAAGTATCATTCTATCTTTTATTAAAGCCTGAATGTTTAAAAAAGACAGAATGATGATTGTGTCAACTTGTGTCGCTAAAAGGAAAGCACCCTTAATAAATTATTTTTCTTGAATGCGAAAAAAAAAATTGATTTTCAATTTCTTTAAATCTGTGCCAAAGACGTGGTTACTGTATTAACTCTAAAAAATATCGCCTCAAAGTATCTAAATGAAAAAGTTTATTTTAAATTGATATTATTATATAGTATATTATTTTAAAAGTATATTTTTTATTTTAACTGTATTAGGGCGATCCTATTTTTGAATATCCTATTTATGTTATATTATAAAATATAGTTATAAAATATATTATAGAATATATGTTATATTACAGAATATAGCACTGAGAACATATTACATTTGTCGACGATTTTGATTTAATGCTTTGCATAGTGCATCGCGACGTTCATTTCCAAGTCGTTTTTCATTTTCATTTTCATATATAATTTGTTCCTGTGGTTTTTCCATTATTGCCTCCATACCTTCTTGTACATATTCGCATATCAAATCATCGCTAAAATCTAGACATATATTATGCAAAACACAGCATGCAAGTATCGTTTTGGGTATTAAATCGACTCTGTTCATGTCCAAATATTTTAAGCGTCTAAATCGACCAAATAAAAGAGCAAATGCTCTTTCAATTGTTTGTCTTGTCTGTGAAACTCGTGTATTAAAAATTCCCTGCTGTCTTGTCAAATTTCCTCGATTTATATATGGAGTAATACACCACTTTAAAGTAGGATAAGCTTTATCGGCTAAAATAAATTCATCATTTGGAAAATACTTTTCTGGATTTTGACGTATCAAATTATAAATGTCAGAATTTCTAAAAATCCTAGCATCGTGTACTGAACTAGGATATCCTGAATAACTATCTATGAATTTTAAATTAGCATCGCAAATTGCTTGCAGCGTTATGGCGTACTGCATTTTACGATTTCGATATGTTTCTGGATCCTTTGATGGTGCTTTAATTGGTACATATGTCCCATCGAGAGCACCTATAACACCATCAATTCCAGCCATAGCTTTAAATTTTTCTTTTACCAATGAAAGTTCCTGTTCTGTTGGCCAATGAATCACTTGAGGTGCTAAATCATTTAAAGCTGTCGTAATTCGAACAAAGCAGGAAAATAATGTAGATTTGCTTAAATCAAATCTTTCTCCAACTGATCTGTTGTTACATAAAAGAACATCATTTTTAAATTAAATTTAGACATAATAAATATATTTTAATGATAGTTTAAAAATAAATATACAATTGATTTTGGTATTGTCTGAATTTTTAGAGTAAAATTTTCTTTTCATCATAATGTTATTTACTTTTAGATTACAGAAAGAGCAAACATTTACATACTTCTAATAAAAATCAGCGTTACATATATATAAAAATGTCAGGATACCTATAAGAATCTGGCGTCGCTAATAGCCATATTGTTGCTAATAACTGTTTTTCAACTGGGACCATTGGTCTCCCAGTTCCAGTAGTATTAGTATTTTCTATTTGTGGACCAACAATAATAAGTAACTTTGGAAAGTTTCACGCGTTATTCTAAAATTTGACTGAAATTGTTTGTCAGTGAAATGATGAATGGTTTCTTCCACATATCTTTCAATGCGTTTAGCCTTGTTTCTCTTTTTTTTTGAGCAAATAAGTGTCAATAAAATTTCAGTTTCACTATCAGATAATGATGAATCGGAATCAAATTCGTAATTGGACAAAAGTTTTTTCCTATTGATATTGCCGTGCCAATAATTGCTTTTTCTCTGTCACTACTCATGCTTTCTTTCGTGTATAATATAGTTTGCTAAAAAAAAATTAAAATATTTTATTTTATATTTTCAAAAATACTTATTTATTTAAAATATGCAATATTTATAGTGAATAGTTCGAATATTGAATAATGAATGGTAAATATATAGTAATATTAGAAGTCGATAAGATTATTAATACTAATTGTTAATTTGTATGATTTTTTCATTTATTTCTAAATATTATATATTACTTCTTTAACGCAAATTAATTTCAATTTTATTGGTTTAACTTACTTTTTATCTTATTCTAATTCTACAAATTAAAAAAATTAAAAGTAAATTAAACTAAGATTAAATTTCATCTACATTAGAATTCTACAAATAAACATAGTGATGAAGATAATATTCAAATAATATGATGATAATATATTTGTCAAATTTATATTACGCGATCGTTTAACCTCAAGATCGTTCATAAACTTTAGGTAGTCCTTGAAGATTGATGTGTCCCTACACGTTCACTGACTAGTCCCCGTCAAGTTAACCTATACCTCAGCGGGTAAGGTTTACGAACGCACCCCTATTGTAGACCGGGACTTAGAAATTGATCAATCACCTTCGATTATTCCCTTCATTCTTGACTATGATTGGTGAATTTCTTAAAGCTTAGAACTTACTACACTTATTGTAGACTCGGCTTTACAGTTATATACCCTGTACAAAACGAAGCAAGAAAAAGAGGAGGAAAGCGAGGTTATAGCTAACCTCTGCACACGTGTTCATGCATACTTATATGCAACCTTATCACAGAGATCAGAAAATTAATACGAGGAAGCAGTCTTAGATGAAACATGTAAATCATATATGTATCGAGTAACTTCTAGGAGTCTTCAATTAAAAAAGAAAACGTAAAACAATATTTTCAAAATACATATAAAATAATTTTTTAAATGTGTTAAATATAATCTCTACAATGGCATTCTTTAATTGAAAAAACAGGAACAAAGAAACGTGCGAGCAAGATGGGTAAGCTACTTCGTTTAGGAAGCAGAAAGAAGGCAAAGCGATGGGCCAAGGGTCAGAGCTCCAGTTCCAACCCGACGACGATGAAGCATCGGAAACAGGCCACTGGTATGTTCTTCAAGGACTTCTCCGACACTCCGGGCATCACCAAGGAAGATCTACAGAAGCACGACGCTATCCAAGGTAGTATTCAGCCGCAGTTCGCGAACCTCGACATCGAGGATCAGCCGGAGAGCACCGTGTATGGAACAGCTACGGCGAACACCTTCGACACGTTCGCCAGCAATTATAGCAACTGCACCAACGTTTCCTTCGGCAATTTTCTCAGCCACTTTCAATCGACTTCGATCATGCACAAGGAGATGCTGGCAGTGCTGTCAGCTGTCACAGAGGTCATCAAGAACCATGGTGGTACTGAAAGCTCGACAGAGTACTTCGCAGCCCTGATGACTACCTTGGAGGCGTTTGAAGACGAAACTTCCGTAGCCGCGACTCTGTCTCTGCTTGGGATGTGCTTGAAGACGGTGCCCAGGGCTGTACTGAATGTACAGTTCAGTGCAACTAGTCAGATCTTCCTTCAGATTCTCTCCAAGTACGTCGCGACTGAGAACTTTCTCATCCTGCGACACTGCATAGGTTGTCTGTCAGTGCTGTTGAGGGCTCAGCAAGCTGCCACCTGGGTTGATCCTTCAACAAAGCGAATGCTGGATGCCATACTGACGTTCACCTCTCACGCTAAACCCAAAGTACGCAAGTCTGCTCTACATGGTATATGCGTCATCCTCAAGGGCAGCGACATCATGAAGAGCGAGAATCCACCGACGTATCATCCGGCAGCGGAACAGATCGCGACACATTGCATCATGCAATTGAACAACGCCTGCGATATAGGATCATCTCTGGGAGTCACCACAATCCTGCACACTCTGACGCTGTTGAAGGACGTAATGCATCAGCTGCCAAAGTCGCACGTGAAGACCATCTGCGAACGTCTGTTGAGCATCATGACATTAAAGAATGTACTGATAACGTCATGCTGTCTGCAAACATTGCATGGATTGTTCGTCTCGAGGCCATTGGAAGCGACGTTACCTCTGCAAACAAATGCGGATATCATCAAAGCTCTTTACGATTATCAACCTTCTGTCACTGATGTGCAGCCGACCTTGGCATGGTTGGCGGTCATGCAAGAGGCTCACTGCAACTTGGTACACACCTTCTTGAATACGTCCTCGACCCTTAATGTTGGCTCGATAATGTTGGGCAATATTGTACCAAGGATGTTGAACAAGTGTACCGAACTCTGGTTATCCAGCAAGACGGAAGTCATAGGTGGGACGTCGAACACCGTCAAGGTCATTTTGCAGGAGTGTGTGGCACCTCTTTGCGAGAGCAAGGAGCGAATTGATAAGTATAGCTCCACCTTGAGTCAAATTATCTCAATTATGCACAAGACGTTGAGTTATCAATATCTCGAAGCCTGGCAGCATGTTTTTCATCTCGTAGCATTGCTCTTTCAAATAACCGGCAAGTCGAATCTTCAAGGCCTTAAGGACATTATTAAATCCTTGGGAGAGCTGCGAGATTCTTACAATTTTGCCTACAATAGCGATGTTGAGTACGCTATCGGAGCTGCGATTAAAGCCATGGGACCACAGGTCGTCTTGGACATTCTTCCTCTTCGGGCTGATGATGGTACGATAAATTTAAAGCGAGGCTGGTTGATCCCACTATTGAAAGACTGCATAACGGGCAGCACCATCTCCTTCTTTAAGGACGTTCTGCTCCCGATCGCTCTAACATGCGAGGAAAAAAGCAAGGGGATAGAAGGGAAGACGTACGAATTTTTGGTACCGCAAATCTGGTCGATCTTGCCGAGTATATGTAATGATGTCAGCGATATCAAGAACAATTTTAAAGATATCGCTAGATTGTTAGGTATGGTGATCAGCGATCGGAAGGACCTGAGGTCACCTGTAATGGCTGCGCTGAGAAAATTAATCGGAAAAGCTACGCGGGACAAGCACGTCGACGACATGGCCGAACTCGCTCGCTTCGCTAAGAACTACTTGCCGATTCTCTTCAACCTGTACATGATGAAACCGAACGGTACGGATGAGGAGGGTCAACGTCTCGCCGCATTTGAGACCATCAAGATTTACTTGACGATCATGAACAGTGACCTGGCGAACGAGATGTTTGAACGTGCGTTGAGCAAACTTGATGAGCCTAACGCAAACGACTTCTTCAAGGAGAGTGTTTACGATCTGATAAGAGTGCTGATTGGCTACACGGACGTCGACAAGCTGAAAAAGTACTACGACATGTGCGTACCGGTTCTCCAGGACGACACCAAGCAGAAGGAGCAGAAGAAGGCCTATCGTTTTCTCGAGGAGATATGCGGAAGCGATCGAAAGGTGTGCAAACAATTTCTGGAGGAGAACAGACGCGGGATTCAGAAAATCCTGATAACGTCGACGACCAGCGTGATTAATGCGAGTCGAGGTACCCGTTTAAGATGCCTCACGCATCTCGTCAAGCTGCATCCGCAGCTCGAGAAGACTAAGTTCCTGGAGGCCATAGTGCCGGAAGCCGTGCTCGGCGTCAAGGATATAAACGCGAGATGCCGCAATACAGCGTATCAGTTGCTTAACGAGATCGCCCAGAAATTCCTGAACAATTCCGAGTATCTGAAGGATTATACGGATATGTTGATGGTGGGTTTAGGCGGTGAACAAAATTATATCAGTGCCACTTTACTGGCTCTGGCGTCTCTCACTTATCATTACAACGGTTCCTTGGATATGGAGACTATAAAAGAGATCTTAGAACATGTTTGGACGATTCTGACGAGTCCCACAAGGGAAGTAGTAGAGTCCGCGTTGTCCTACGTAAAGGTGTATCTCAACGTGATGCCGACCAGCGTTGTGGCCTCGACGTTACCGCAGATGATCAACGCTCTGTCGCAAATGAACGAGGATTGTAAGCGCCACTTTCGCCAAAAGGTACGCGACATCTTCACGAAGCTTATAAGGAAGTATGGCATAGGTCCGATATCGAGTATGATACCGACTTCGGACGTGATCCTGCATAAAAGATTGAAGAACATCAACAAGATTGAGGACGCGAAGAGGAAGAAGCGAGAGCTTGAAAGGGCGAAGAAGCTGGAAAACGACGACATGGAATTTAACGCCAAGAGGACACCTAAGAGCATAGAAGAAATATTGGCTGACAGTGATGAGGAATTCGAGGCTACGGAAAACGAGGAATCTGCGAAAGATAAAAAAAGAACGTCGAGGAAGGATGCTTGGATTCAAGAGAACGAGGAGAACATAGTCGACCTCATAGATCCCGCAGCTGCTAGAAATATCACAAGTTAGTTTATGATCCATTTTAAACATAGAACTTCTCATAAACATTTCTCTCTTACAGATTCTCTTCTAAGTTTTGTCTTAGTTAATTGAAACGAATTTCTTAATTAATCTTTTGTGTCCTTTTTCTCAGTTAATTCAATTGTAATTTAACTGTGATTCTGTCTAGGTACACAAAATTATAAAAAAAACAGAACATTAATTATCTCGTCTAATTAATGTTTGTAGACTCATAATAATTGTAAAGAGAAAAAGATTCGCATCATTTCAATTTTGTATGTTTCAGCTACACAACCGGGCGTGTCAAATCCGACGAAGATTCCTATGAAAAAGGTAAAGGATCATGGTTTCAAGACTGCACCTGATGGTCGACTAATCATCGTAGATGGTAATGAAAAAGACAGCGATACAGAGGAAAAAAGTAAGAAGAAATTTTTCCTTCAAAATAAAGATTCAGAAGAGGACGATTACGGTAAGGCGTTATTATAATTTATTCAGAATTATGCTAATGATACCTCTTGCATATCTCGTGCTAATTTTGATACTTTTTGTAGAGGATGAAGATGATGTTTCGATGACTACTAAGAACGTCGACAAAAAGCGTAAATATAGTGAGAGCATGTCAGACGTGATGAGCTTGAAGAGTCAGTCAACGTCAAGATATCAAGGTACGTTTAGAATTTTTTTTACTCAAGGTAATTTAAAACCATCGAGTTAAAAATCTTCGATACATTTTTAGAGACAATCTTTTTCTTAAAAAATTATTATTTATCTAATTTCGATTTTTTATTTTAGCTGGTGGCTCGGGTATTCACCGACCGCTAAAAACAAGAAAGGTCGAACGTGAAGCTGGTTCGGAATATCGCGCAGTGAAAGGTCGAGGAGATATTAAGAAGAAGGGTAAACCAGACCCTTACGCATATCTACCTTTAACAAGATCAGCATTGAACAAAAGGTCAACAATATTTTATTTTGTATCACATATATTTACATAAATTAATTTATATTATATTATATTTGTCATATCACTCTCTGTCTCGATTTAATATATTAGATATAATTAATTGAACAATTTTACTTTTATAGAAAGAAGAAGAAGAACGCGGGCAAGTTCCAGAGTATCGTTTCTGGGGCGAAGAAGGGCGCGCGAAAAGGAATGAAGAACAAGCGGAAAAGACATTAGAGATTAGATAATAGTTCTGAGATTGATTGTTAATTACGTATATGAATTAAAGAGACTTGGAATATTGTAAAAATTCCTGTTATTATTATATTCAATTAAAAGAAAAGATAACTCATAGTTTTGCTACTTAATATGTGTTAATCGTTTCGATTGTTCTGATTTTGTCTGATCTTCAGCAAAATTTTATACACGCTGTTTATTTGTGAAAATTGGATATGTTCGAGAATCATAGAACAATACAAATTATAGCAAACATAACTGTTCTTACTAAGAGAGTTGCACGTGTAAAGAAAAAAATTATACTCTATATTCTGCGGAACTTGCTCATATGTTTTCAGAACGCTAAGAATAAATACTCTCCCGAGTTTTTCACCCATATGTTATATATAAAGATACTTTCATTCGTAACTTTTTTCCACCGTCACTCTCAATGCTCCCACTATACACAACGGGCACAAGACTTCTGGTTTGGATAGATTGCGAGATAACATGTTACCTAAATATTGCGATGTGCACGGAAGAACTAACGATGGAGATGTTATTAATTCAGTTTCCATCGTTGGAATAATGTCCGTTTCGTACATAGAGATTGGAAAGTGGTGTCCACAAGTAAACACTATATTATCTTCTTCTGCCGTAAGCAACCGATCCACAGCATTCGAGTCCTGTAAATATATATTTTGTAACATTTTTATTAATATGAGAATTTAATTATTTATTTATATTAAAAATTAAATTTCAGCCTGTGATTTGTTGCTTATTTCAATTAAATGATACGTGGTGGATGTGGTGTGTGTATATACGGTCTTTCCATATAAAAATAAAAACATTTTTCTGGTGACGAAGCAATTAAAGTTCTATAAATTTCTGCAGAAAGTGAAAAATGATGCATCAATATGATCTGGAGATCTATTTTATATTTATTTAAAGAAAGGGGAGGAAGCTGAAAATGTTAATATTCGCTTTTTGTTGTAACATAATAGTTTTTCTTCAAAGTAATGATTATAAACTAATGTAAAGATTTAATTCTATTTTGATACAACTAAAATATTTTACCTTGATGTGCGCAAACAGTTTGGAGTCTTCCATTTCGGAGAATACCGTACTAACAATTCCTTCCATCATTTGTTGCGAGCTATTGTTTTTACTCGAACCTGGATATCCATTTAACGGAGCCCCATAATTGTCGGCCATTAGACAGGAGAAGATTTTGATGTATTCGGGCATCATATCGTCTAAAATACAAATTAATCGTTAGTGTTACTCGCTCATTGAACTCACGTCTGTTTTCCAAAAGTAAAAAATGTTACCTTCATCTATATGTTGCATCAACATCGATAATACTTGAAGACAAAATTTGAGCGAGAATAAGTCGTTCATGCGCCAATCATTCTTGTCTCCTTTATCTGTATCCAGATATTTTCCTATCGCATCTTGACTATAAAAAAACAATAAATTACGTCACAAATTAATTCGTCTCGCATTTAATTTTGGTATCGATATCTCAAAGATTTTGTATGTATCTCAAAATTTTTTTTGCTAGAGATTATTTTAATATAGTATCATATCTAGATTTTCTATATTTATCTATAATTATTTTATTTTATTTCTTAAGTATTTTATCTGTAATTCACAAAAAAAGAATAGAAACGAGAGAAAAATAAAAAAAGCAAAGAAATTACGATTTTGATTGAAGATATAAATCAGATAAAAAGCATAAGCTATCGCGAAAAGTTGTTTCACAATGTAACTCACCAAAACAATAATAATCCAAGTGGATAATAGATGATACATATATGTTCGAGAAAAACGTTCTCCAAACTTTGCATCGGTAAATCATGCTCGATCCAAAAGCGAATTGCACTTCGTAATACTTCGCATTTCAAGGTGTTGGCCTCGTTACTGATCCTGTTCAAGTAAAACTTTAGTGCTTTTATAGTCTCGTTGATGATGTAATTCCTCTGAGAGCGCGAGGACACTTTGTCAGGAAACGCGACGTTTTCTTTAGACGCGTTGTACTGATTCATCTGACTGTCATTATTAACATTGTTCATCATCGTTTTCGCGCAGATCGATCGAGTAAAATTTTGCGCGTTATTGTTAGGAGCGACATTTTTATGCTGCGATAGCGAATCGTTCTCATCAAAGATCAGATTTTCGATCCATTCGCGTTGCTCGTCCTTGTTCGGGTTAGATTCGACGTCAGGGATTTGGTCCACATTCTCGGGTAACTCTTCCTTTTTCTTTCGAGTAATACATAATTCTTCCAAACCACCCTGGCAATCGAAGGTGTACAATTCTTGCGCGATCGCTTGCAAATTATTCAACGATCTACTCGTGGAAATCTTCGTCCAGCTTCGTGCAACGCTGTTCTCCAGGGATTCCATGAGATTTTTCTCTGCTTGTCTATTAAACAACTCAGTATTTTTCTTGATACTTCGACAGGACGTGGTATCCTCTACATTTTGCGAGATGATCTTTGCCGTGGATTCACGCGAAATTGTTTCTGACATTGAATGACTTAGAGACGAACGAATACTTAATTTGTGTAACGTCTTCAATTGATATGTAAAAGCGGTCAGAATATCACCTTCTAATTCCGCTATCTTAGAACAAGCTTGATAATTTTCCAATTCGATGCACTGTAACAGAAAAATTATTTTACTGGTGATATATTCTCCATCCACTTAGCAATCTAATATAACTCAGAAATCAAAATAGATTTCAGGAAGTCTTATCTAGAAGATAATGTTTAACGATACAATTAATAAGATAAATGATTCTTTTTTTGTATAAAATTTCATTGTCTCATATAAAAGAAAATGAAATGATCAACGAACTTTTTCCATGATACCGGCGGACTGATATAAACCATAGAAATGTTCCAGGACGTAATGAAGCGTCAATTCCCCGGGTGTTTTTTCGATGACGCTCAGAGGACGGACGAGTCCGGCGAAACAGGACGCGTCGTTGGACTGATAAGATATCACCGGGGTAGAAATACCGGGCACTTGACTAGGAACGTCCAGAGCTACGTGTAATGCGTTGGGGAGTCGCACCACTCGCTTCGACGATTTCAGCAAGACGAGTTTGTCGTCGGTATCGCGCGTCTCTCTCGCGGGAATGCGACCCAACTGTGCCCTGCTGTTGTTGCCCCAGGCTAATACTGTACCTCCTGCAAAAAATGCACAACATTTATTATTTTTTATCCGTTTTCAGTCTGTTAAAAGAGTCAATCAATATAAATAATAATTTCAAGTTGCAGATTAAGAATTATTAAATAGTAGTAATAATTTTTATTTCTTTTTAACCTGGTTGTATCGCAATCGTGTAATCGTAACCGCAGGCGATCCCAACTGTATTAATCACAGGATTGATTCTCTCTTTGCTATTGTGACTGATATCTTCCGATTTTGATGCACCAATAATATTTCCATTCTTCTCAGATGCGTTCCCATTATTTGTTAATGAATTGTTCGATTTAGCATCATTGTCCGAATCTCGTTGATTCTGCGTTCTTTTAAAATCGCTATGTCTAGGTGGTACTTGCGCGAAAATGCATGCCGGATTATAATACAAAGGCGTCGGAATCGGTTCCTCTTTCCTTGTACCGTTACCTAGTTGACCATCCAGATTACGACCCCACGTGTACAAGGAGCCATCCTTCGTTATCAATGCATTATGATGACAACCGGCTGATATCTAGATACATAAAAAAAGATCATATCATTTACATCTTATCCGTTTTGCATAAAGTATACAGTATTTCTTTCTCTAGCTTCTTGTCATAAGATAATATTTTTAGAAGTAATCTAATTGTGAGTTTAATATATACATATTTCTAAGAGGAGAGAAGTTAAAATATATAATCCCCTAATATTCTCGGACTATTTTCAACAAACCTGAGTAATTTGTCCTTTTATCAAACTTGTATCGACTTCAGACGGTTTCATATGCGCTTGGCTCTCATCGATCAAATCATTATTTCTCAAATCTATGCTTTCAGATGATCTCTTTCGCGTTTCTACGTTAGAAGCGATCGTTTCCGCATTTTGCACATTATCCTCCAAAAGTTCTTTCATTTCTTCGTTCATAACGCCGCTTGGCACTCTCTCCGAGCTCTCCAAACTTTTATTTTTTCTTTCATCTTGTTGCTCAAGTATTCGAATCTTCTTTTGTGCTTGCGCTTGCAATCTGAGAACCTGAGGACTCGCGCCCCATACGTATAATTTATTCGTGTTACTGACAGCTAGCTGTAAACACACAAGATACGAATATATGAGATTATTACAAGAATCAAACATTTCAAGGAATTAACTTTGTCTTTACACACATGTACCGTTCACTGAAGGTCTTCTTTGACTGTTCTTTATAGCTGAACTAATTGCACTAGTTTATCTGTTTTACTCCACTGAAAGCAAAGAGATAAACTCCGAACCAGTGCAGCCAGTTCAGCTATAAAGAACAGACCTTGAAACTTACGTTATGAAAGTATCCGGTGCTTATAAGCGTTATTCTATCCGGCAACAATACTTTTGTCGGCACGGAACTCTTAGTGTTACTACCAATTCCCAATTGACCGAGGACATTAGATCCGAAGGCGTATATAATACCGTCTACGGACAGTGCTAGGGTGTGCGCATATCCGGCGCTGATGCAGCGTACAACTACGCCGAGCAGAGCCGTAACCAAAGACGGCGTGATCCTTTCCTCGGTGCTATCGTGGCCCAGTTGACCGTGAACGCCCCAGCCCCACGTGAAGACTCTGCCATCCGCGGTAAGCGCCACAGAGTGATATTGTCCGGCTATGGCGTCCACGATTATCTCCTGCGCCAGTGAGATGATTAACTCTGGACTCGAACACTGGAGCACCTTACCGAGACCTAGCTGCCCAAATTGACTTGAGCCCCAGGCGTAGATGCCGTTGTTGGTGACTGCCAGAGTGTGACAATGTCCGCACGATACGCTGAAAACCTCGATCTCCATGCTTCGGAAGAAACATATGGCGTGAGGCGCTCCGTATCGTAAAACGCTAGAGCCAGTTCCTAATTAATAGTTTAAATAAATATTAATAAATTAATAAATATTAATAAATTAATTTATTGTAATTTATATTTTTCGTAAAATAAATAAAATATATACCTAAACAACCTTGCACCGAGCTTCCCCAAGTATAGACATTACCGTTTCTAATAAGAGCAACGTGGGAAAATCCAGCGCTCAACGATCTTCTTTTAAAATCAACGTGCAATGCCATTTCCAAGTATTCCTGCTTACAGATGAAGGAAAGTTATAATTTAGTAGACTACATCGATAATGATTGCGTGGAAATACGAGATTCGGCAAGTGAAAAAATGAGATTGTACAATTAGTATGTACTCTCTCTGCAATCTAAAAAATTTCTTTAGCATAATTTTCTCAAAAGCATTTAAATATTTGAGAATCAGAATAATATAAATAATATTTATATTATGCTATTTTTATGCAAAAACAAACATGTTTTTGTTTATCTATGCTGAAAATTTTATAATAAAAGCAATGCATTAATGTAACTACAACTGTAATCTCTACAATATGTTGAAAAATAAGATGCATAAAAAAATTATCAAAAATTATCTTTCCTCGTTTTCTCTACTATATCTCGTATCAAAATTTATAAAATCTAATTTTCTTAGAATTACCTTGCTCAATTCTGGCAATTGCACATCGTACAAAAGCATAGATTTGTAGTTCGAATTTAATAACTGTTTCTTATATATAAGAGTCAATAAAATTAATATAAACGTTTCTACTATATCCTCCATAAGTGTATCAAACTGACCCTATAAAAAATTTTTTATTATTAATAAAAATATTCCAAAACCGAAAAAACTAATTTCAAAAAAGAAAATAGAACAAAATTATATCTCTCTACTAACATTTCCAAAATATTAAAATAATATTAATTCAACGATTAAAAATTACAAAAATCTATGAAAAATATCGAAAGTATCTCCTTCGACATTTTTGGAAAAAAAATTTCGTCTCTTGATTAATTATATGTGTTAATATATATCTTATACTCACAATATTATCTATAACATCTGTAAAATCACATTGACTAGATCGTAAATTGTATGATGCTTTATGACGTGCTATATACTGTAGCAGTTTAGGTCGTAATACTGGATTTGTTGGATTGTACAATGTCACTAATCTCTGTAAAGTATCAATATATTAATCACAATCGTAGCATACTTGAAAAATTATTTGAAACTAGAAATTTTAATTTTTCAAACATATTAAATAATTTTTTGACGCTCATATAAAAATTTTATAATGCAAAGTAATAAAAAAATATTTTTACATTGTTGTCTATTTTTTACATATTTGAAGATAAATCTCTTTGATTTATTTTTTATTTAATTATCAAATGGAAAATCATATATATTTCTTTTCATTTTGTAACTTTATTCAAAAATGAATACTTAAGAGTTAAGATTTCTCACCTGAAGCACAAAAATTTGAGATTCTCGTAGATTACTACGTACAAATAACATATGGGCTCTAGCTAAATCATGGTTCAATAACATTGCTTGCATTAAATCAGATTCGCTTAAACATATAAGTAAACCATCTAAAATATACAAATCCATAATTACATACATTAGTAATATTCGCTCGTTATTGTTTTGTGAAAAAACATGCAATTGTATATATATGTATATATTACATGATTTTGGGCGAACATCATTTGTGCCAAACATTTGAACTGTCTTCATGAGGATATCCAACATTTGACCATACAGACTTTTCTGTGTAGCTAAATGATGTAATACTTCCCAGAGATAAGTTTGACCAGCTATATTAATAGCTAATAATTCGTCGTAAAACATATTTGTGGATAAAAAATATCTAAAGACACAAAATATAGAATTACAAAGTACATAGTACACCATTATTTTTCATGTAACAACTTTAACAAAGAAAGAAAGCAAAGAGAGTATATCACTATTTCTTGTTGAAAATGTAATTGTATCATAAAATGTAACTTACAAGAATTCTTTGTAAATTGCTTTTGATTGTTCCGACCAAACTCTCAATGTCATTTCAATAAAGGCAAGTATACATAAATTAGATAAATGTATTCTTGTTGCAGTGGGCATCTCAGTGATGACAGGTGTTAGTAAGCAGTGAGTAAGGCAACTTAATAATTCAGAGGTATGACCAATTGATGCAAACTTTAACACACTCTTCAATAGTTTACACTAGAATATAAATATTAGATAAAATTAATTCTGCTTGGGATCAATAAATAAAAAAAAAAGAGAAATATAAATTTTTTTAAAGCTTTTGTTTCTTTTCTTTAAATAATAAATATTTTATATAAGTCACATATCAGAAATAGAAATTTAAATCTTTTCCTTAGATTTGTAAAATGAAAAAATATAATTTACATGTTTCAAAAGAATAATTTAGGATGACACACTTATAAATTCTTTTCTTACACATCCTCAAATTTTCAACTGAGATGTTTAAGTGTTCTGTTTCTGGCAAATTAATCCAAAGATATGATTTATGTATTTTATATAATTAAACTTTTATTTACCCTAGATATTTTATAAGCAGCTACTGCACGTGGAAATTCTTTATTTGATAGAAATATATCGCCAGCATATTCCAATAATTGTTGTCCATTCAGTCCAAAAATCATTGCCAATTTTCCTGCTTTTTGCAGCTCATTTTTCTTCAATACCAATTCCATAAAAATCGTAAAAAGTGATTTTCTGCAATAAAAGCTATATTAATAGCTAATAATTCGTCGTAAAACATAAATAATATAAATAATAAATATTCATACTCTCTTTCAATATTATAATAAATATTAAAACTTACCTTAGAATAACTTCGTAAACGCAGCGATTTGTAACAATTATACATGTATCTAAATTAGGTACTTCAATCTTAATATCTTTTATATTCTTTGGTAAAGTATATTTATTCTCTATCTCTTGAGAGACTTTTCTTTGTATCACATCAAAATTTGTTACTTTGTAAACCGCACGTATCACTTCCTTACTGCTCTTAAACGAAAAAGTTCCGATAATAGATTCAGAATTGAATCTGCAGTCTTTATTTATATGAGTCTCGGACAATTGATCAGATATTATATATATCACATATTGATTAATATCGGTAATGAAAAAGAATCTGTGCGCCAGTAAAACAGTCTCACACGATTCAAATACTTTGTGCATCGATAATGGTACTACAGCCAAATTTGGACCGTGCACCTAGAATAAAAATTATTATATAAAAATTAATGTAAAAATTAATTATATTAAACTCTAACAATAGAAATAACAAAGATGTATATATCTAGCAATAGAAAATACACATATATATATATAAAATTATATTGACCTAAAATATTTTATGTATATGTGTATAAACTGATTATTAGAAATCAAACTTTGTCTTACTGTGACATGATGAGTGTCAGGATGATAGCATGTATATAATTGCCGGCCTTCTCTGTCATATTGTGAAGCTAGGAAAGTATCTTTTGATACTGGTTCTGGGCTGATAAAACCTAACTTGGATTCTGATGATATTTCTGAATTAACAGTAAATCCATTGTGATTTTCTTTTTTATTTGAAGCATCTATATGTATTATAAATATTTTAAAATATAAATATTAAGAATAAAAACAGTTTTGTCAAACTGTACATGTACATAGTCTTACCATGGCATTGTGAACTTTCTCCCAATGTTTGATTTTTAGTATCGATTAACTTCTGTTTGAAAATAGCTAGTTTCTCGACAGAAAGCTGTTTAAGTTCTTGCAGTTTAGACTTATTACGAACAGATTCTTCCGTGTTATCACAAATATTGCTATTCGAATTTACACCACTTTGATGTTCTTTGTTTTCAAAGTTGTGTAAAAGATTATACATGTGTTGTTCCAAAGATAAACGCCATTGTTGTTGAAATTTACTAGTTATCAAAAGAAATGCAGCCTCATTGGTTTCATTTTGACAAATATATAGACTGCTTATACTTCCAGTAACATATGTGGTACCCATTTGTTGCCCATTTAAAAGATTAATAAATATAATTGCTCCACATTCAGTTCCTATAATGCCAATATCAATAGACATTTTCACATCTTTCCACCATGTAATGGCAGTTGGCCTAAAAATATATAACAGATATAACATTTTTTTTCAATATTATATAACTATAATTACATTTAAATAACAAAAATGTATATAAAGTAACAGATACACATATATATAAAAGTAACAGAATAAGTCATAGGCCCATATTCATAGTCTGATCTTATAGTCATCTTAAGTCTGGTCAGAGGTTGACTTAAGATCCCGTTCAATCAATCAAATGACTGTGTGGCGTCTTAAGTTCGGACTTAAGACAATCTTAAATATAAGATCAAACTATGAATATGGGCCATAGAAAATAATATGCAGAAATAAAATAAAAATATATATACTACAACAAAAATATTGAGAATGTTGAAAATTTTTAAATTATTGAGTTCAGTATATTACACACAATACAATTACCTAAAATGAGAGAGCTGAAGATTTACAAAAGGAATATATGTCACATCATCCACCTTCCATCTTTTATCAATAACATAATTTTCACCGACTAGAGTTAAAGCAGGCAGTATGTACAATGAACCATCCAAGGTTATGCATAATAACCAAACACCACTTGGATCAAAGCAAAATGTAGCAATTTGTTTATGCGATCCTTGAAACCAAGGTATTCTTTTAATAACAGGTAAACAAGAGGGTTCTCTTTTGAAATAAAGAATAATTTCAGCATTGTTCGTAGTCAATGCAAGAAATAATTTTTTCCCAAGTTTGCACTGTATGCTATGTTGTATCTCAGTGGTTTTAATTAAACATTGCAGTTTAAATAAATTTTCACTCATCATGTTAGGAATCACCATTATGTGTGCAGTGTTTTCTGAAATATTAAAAATATTATATAGAACTACCATATATTATTATAATATAATGTAAATTTATGATAATTTTTAGATTACATAAACAAATAACAATTGTCATAAAATATTATAAATATTTATATCATCAAGCTTATACATCTGTCAAACGATTTTGTAAAGAGAATAATTTACCTACACAATTTATTTGTGTTGTAATATGTATTATTAAAACTATTATATATCGTTATTATTTATTTAATGTCAGGAATTTAGAGAGGCCATGTACTATGTCTAATACATTTTTATATTGCTTTATTACAGCTGATCATTACTGTGCTTCTTCTTCTTCTTCGTGATTAGATTGGCCACCCTCTTTTCGCGCATGCGCGGTAAATATGATATCGATATCAAATAAATTTTTGATTATATGAAAAGATCCTGTATAAAAATTGCTTGATAATTTTTAGAATTTATTTAAATATTTACAATTAATAAAGAATATGAAGTAAAATAAGAGATGCGATTGTAAAATGTTAAATAATATTTTTTTTAAATATTGACACAAATGTCAAGTTGATTGATGCGCATGCGCGAAAATCTCGCGACGACAGCGACACCTACATCAAACTATTTCGGATCGAGTGTCGCATCTAGGTATTCATGCGTACTCCATGGTACGCGTCAGCTGTTCGGTGACTGTTTGCAGTGTTTGCCAACTGATGAAGTCGTAGGAGTAGGAAAGGAGTCGCAAAACAGCGAGGAAGCTTCATTGTTTGGGATGTGTGATTGTGCAATATGGCTATCTGGTGAATAATAATAAGCGATATGTTGAGATAGACGGAAAACAACGCGCAGTTCTTGCCTGACATTGTCGCGTGTCACCCTGCTTTATATATCATTTATCGATCGCTTTTAAATAAAGGCAGCAACAAGCGATAATATGCTGGAACTCGAAGTGGTGCCCGAGAGATCTCTCGGATGCGAGCAATGGGAATTTATTTTAGGCAAGTGACGAAACGCAAGCGCAAAAGAACGATACGTGTTTATATTTATTATGATTAATGCGCATAAAGTCTCTCTTCCGTCAGATTTTATTCGATCGAATTAAATGATTCGATAAAGTATGTATCATATACGAAGTAAAAAATCGTACGGTCAATCGTAATCTGTCAGTTCGGAGTAATGTCGATTGTAGCGACGTTAGCGTCTCTTTGTTTCGCAGTCAATTCGTCCAGACTTCCTTATCGCGTCTTATTTTTTTCTTGTCTGTTTAAATATTAAACTTTTAATTGTTTGACAAACACAAAATAGAAAAAATGAACGTTATTTTTCCTTTTTTTTATTATGTAACATATAATATTAGTATTCGAATATAATGATTCTTTGACGTATTTTTGATATTCTTTATTGCATCAGCAAATATACATAAACAAATAAATATAATACGCAAAAATAGACAGGAAATGTCGCGAGCCAACAAATTTACAGATCAAATTGTAAAGAAGCAGGCAATTTCTCTCTAGATGCCAATTGTATAAATCAAAGCATAAATTGATTTTCCATCTTTATTTAATCACTATTATACATCAGCTTATTGTTATCAATCTATTATTAATAAGATAAGTAAACATCTCAGATTAATTTATGCTCGTGATGATGTATTATGTTTTGTATGTATGTAAGCAGTTCTTTTATAATTACAGAGTAAATTGCCTACATTTCCATTAAAATTGATTTGCACACTTTTACTGATAGCAAATATTTTTTGTTTATTTTTAATGTTATACTATATATCTCTTTATTTCTTTATTTTTTTACATACTTCACAATTTTTATATCTGCCACACTTATATGAAGCATACAATAAGAAATAGGTCTTCAGCTCACTTATAAAACTTCAAGTTTTAAATGTACTTATATTGCAGGTATGCATTTTTCTCAGTCAGTATCAATAATACAATCTCAAGTTGGTGTCATAAGAGGAGTGCAAGTACTTTATAGTGACACTGTAAGTACTTGATGTCTTATTAATATAAATGTATATCAATAATTACATTATATAAGTGTATATTAATGAAATAAATATAAACTAATATATAAAATAATATAAAATAAATAATAATTAAGAATATGAAACTTACATATATACACATACATAATACACACAAATTATACATTGGACATTCTTCTAGAATACATGAATGAATATATATGTACTCTTATCTTTATATTTCTATTAATACTCTTATCTTTATATTTCTATTTTATTTATTGTAATAAAATAATAAAATATTATATACATTTACAGAATCCATTAGATGTAGATCTAGTAATAAATTTACCACACGATGGAATTCGACTTATATTTGATCCCGTTGTGCAAAGGCTGAAGATAATTGAAATTTATAACATGAAATTAGTAAAATTGAAATATTGCGGTTTGCCGTTCAATTCGCCCGAGGTGTTACCTTCGATCGAGCAGATCGAACATTCTTTTGGAGCAACTCATCCTGGTGTTTATGACAGCGAAAAACAGGTATAGTGTATAATTACAAATAAACATATAAACATATATATAAACATATAAACATATATATATATACATAAAACATAAACAACATATATGTATAAAACACATACAATAAAATTAATGAATAAGTTTATTATTCGATAAATATTTATATGATCTGTGCATAAAACGTACATAAAATAACAATTATAATAATGATTTACAGGTGTTCGTATTGAATTTTCGAGGACTGTCATTTTATTTTCCGATCGATTCGAAATTTCAACCTGGCTACGCCCACGGATTAGGTTCATTACAGTTTCCTAATGGCACGTCTCCTCTGGTCGCGAAAACTGCGATTTACGTTGGGAATATGCCAGCTGGTGGTAGCAGCGAAGAACACGGTTCAAAAACACCACCACCACCTCTGCCACTTGTAATTATGTTACTAAATTTTAATTATTTGTCATTTTTTTAAAAATCAAGTAAGAATATCAAATGAATGCTAAAAAATGTACATTTAACATGTGTTTTTAATAGGTCTGCTACCATAATAACTTGTACTTGGAGAAAGCTGACATTATTAGAGATAAAACGCGAACACGAGGTCTCAGATTACATCTGTTCACAGAAGGTAGTTGTGGAACAAGAGCGTTATTGGAGCCAAAAAAACGATGTCTGACTAAAGAGGTAACAAATATTTTATACTTTATCGATATACTTTTTACATAGAAATGTCATATATTTAAATTATGATTATTGAAAGTGAATATAAAGTATAAATAGTGTTTGTATTATATAGCAATTCTTGTATTATAAAACAAATATTTCATATATTATTCGATAGTTTAGTTTGGTAAAATATATTGAAAACTTTTTTTTTTAATTCTAGATTAATAAATGCACATAATTTGCATGTATTTGTCCTATATTTTCAGCGAAAATATAAATCAAGATTTATTATTTATTACTCCATGAATTAAAAAAATTTTATATTTTATCTTGTTCCTTACAAAAGAGTCCGTATACTATATTAATTGAATATGCATGACATTTAAAAAAATAATTTTTATACATAAGTTTTTACTTTTGCATTTTATAATTTATATTTCTATTTTTTTTCTTTTTGTTTTTATCTTTCTTTCAACATGTCTCAAAATATTTATGTGTGATTTATTATCGTTTCTACTTTACAATAAGATATTATAGTGACTATGCATATATTTTAATTTATGTATTGATTTCAGGTATTATTTGGTGATACTTGCGAAGATGTTTTAAGCGCACTAGGTGCCCCATCTAGGGTATTTTACAAAGCTGAAGATAAGATGCGTATCCATAGTCCACACGCGCACAAACGAGACAAAATAAGACGATCAGATTTTTTCTACAATTATTTCACATTAGGTTTAGTAAGTATTTTCAGCAAAGTGATTTTTTTTGCAATTGAATCAAAATGATATTATAAATTAGTAAAATTAGAAAGAGACACTTCTTTTCTGATAAAAAGAGATAAAATTGTTTTTATTTTTTTTCTTTGTTTTATTTTTTTAATATCTTTTTTCTTTTAAACAATGTTATGAGAAATAAACATTTTATATTATATAAATATTATATAAATGATTGTCAATTTAGATGATTTAATTTTAATTTCACATTCAAGTAATTTAATTTAGTCACAGATAATTATGAAACAAACTTTTTTCGACAGATAATTGGCTATATTTCTATATAAAATTATAAACAGATTATATCACTTGCCCTAATCAATTCACCTTTCCTGTTGTTTTTTTTTCTTCATTTATCTGACTTAATATACATTTTTTTTCATATATTTTACAGGACATCTTGTTTAATGCAAAAACTCAATGTATAAAAAAGTTTGTGCTTCACACGAATTATCCAGGACATTATAACTTTAATATGTATCATCGTTGTGAATTCTCTTTGACTCTGCCGCCTGAAAATAATTCCACGGAATCAGGAAAACTGATAGATGTTTCTCCATGTCCAGTTACGGTAATTATTATAAATTATAATATTTTTCAAAATCTTTTTATAATTATGGATGTATTTGAATACATTATCTGTTATCGATTAATATATATATATATATATATATTTATTTATTCTGTCTTTTTGGCTCCCTAGATCACTGCCTACACAAAATGGGATAGAGTGAGTGAACAATTAAAGGCAAGCGCGCGTCCTGTAGTACTGAATCGTGCATCTTCGACGAACACAACTAATCCTTTTGGTTGCACTTTTTGTTACGGTATACGAGATGCGATTGTCGAAGTTATGGCGAATCAACATATTGCAAGTGTAACTTTATACAGGACAGCATGATCCTGATAATTTACACGTAAAAAATATTACTTTTTAAAATCGATTCCGAAACAACGGAGCTTTACATATTTATCATAAAAATAAGTATAACATGGTTTATTCTCATCTTTGTTATAATTGGGAAATTATAATAAAACAGAATAAAACATGTGTATGCAATCTCAAATAATTAATGTTCGTAAATATTTTAACTTTAAGAAGTAAGAAAATGAAAACGGAAAGAATTAGATTACAAATATTATATAATTATATAATATTATATAATTATATATATAATATAATATAATATTATATAATATTAAGTTTATATAAATATCATATAAACTTTTATAGGATATATAATATTTTTAATTTATCATAAAGATTGTTTATAATTAACAATCTTAACATATAACATTATGTTCTTAGGTAAAATAAGGAGATAAGTCAACTTGTAACTCTCCTAAAGTAAATTTTTTTATATTGTAATGAAGAAAAAAAAATGCTAACATGTGGTATAGCAAGTGTGTTGTTAATATCATAATATATAAGGTTAAAATATATACTATAACACTGCAAACAAATCTTAGAATTCTTTGATACTTATATCAAATATGTTGATTTGTGATGACAAAAGCGAGTAAAATTCTAATAAAAAAATATTAGAATTCTTGCAACTGAAATTCATGTATCTTTATGAGTATGTTATTATATAAAGCAAATTATAAAATTTAAGTTATTAATCTAATATTGTGTACATAGAAATGACATGTTTGAATCACAATTTCACAATTATTTTTATATTTAATCATATATATTTTTGTGTGATAAATATACTCTGCATGAGTAGAGAATAATATTTATATCATATAAGCCTATCTCCACAGATTAAAATTTGTATTGTTTTATTGTAATCTACGAAAATTATTGCAGATGTAATTTGTAATAATTTCTTTGTTTTTGACATTATGATGAAAATTAAGCCAATATGTAGATATTAAGGATCTTCAATTATTACTTAATAATTAATATATGAAAAATTGACAGAAGAAACTAGAATTAAATGGATTATATTTATTTCTTCATGTAAGATTGCAGATCTCCATCCAGCAATCCATATACAAACATAATTTACTGATTAAAGGAAAATTCTAATGAAAATAATATATATATATATATATATATATATATATATATATATATATATATATATATATATATAACATATTGTATTTGTGTTTGCTCACTGTTTCTTCAGAAATCGTAAATAAATATTCTTCATAATTTTAGTTGGTTTATATTACAAGAAAATACAATAAGGAAATTTATAATCAGTGTTGTGAGATAAACCGAATAAAATTATAGTTTAATCAATTGTTCATATAAGATATTAGTATACATTTTTACTTTCTCTTTTTTAACTTCAGAAATAAAATAAAGTGATCACACTTATAAAATATTTTGTACATGTACATAATACACACACAAATTCTATTTTTTTTATTGTTTTTTACACATATAAAATTATATACGAAAACATTTAGTGATATATTATTTTATTGCAAGAACAGAAAAAATATAATTTTTGAAATAAATATTAAGATGCTAAATAACGTTTTTGAAAGTATTCTCTAAATAGAAATATAAACATAAAAATATTGAAACTAATTGACGTTTCGAATGCACCAACAAAGATAAAAAAATATAAATAAATCTTTATCTGTTAGTGCAAAAATTATGTCTTCCGAGATTATCACATGTATGCACATTGAGCAATTCTTGGATTTATAACAAAAATTTAACAAATTTTAATATTTGAATTTCATGCAAAAGCAACTATAGTATATGTATAACATATAATATGTTTATCTTCTTTTTTAAGTTGTTTTTAGCTGTTCTTTTTCATCAACATTCGCGGCATAATGTTTGATGAATCTAGCAGATGGGTCTGTAACATTTTTCACCCAACGTGGCATCCAAAAATAAGGTGTAAAACTTTCTGCTTGCCCTTTGTAATATGATTCAAAGGTATTTCTAACAGAAATAAAAGATTATTAGACACAAATAAAGCATTATTTATAGTTAAATCAAATAATGGGAAAGTTTGCTTACTAATATGTGTTTATATATATTACCTATAATAAAGTGCTTCTTTTGTTCTTGGAGTGCAATGAGGATATTTTGTGTAAGCAGCATTTAAATCTTCATCCTTAATACGATCTTCTACTATTTCTTGGATTATTTGAAAAAGAGATTTCTTGATAGATGCAACTCCATCACTAAAAGCTTCTTTATGCCTCCACAGTATATGTGAAGGTAATAAACCAGTCCCATCAAAAGCAGATCTTAATAAATGCTTTTCGATTCCATCTGTACACAATATATATATAAATAGTATCAATTTTTTAATATCCCTTTCCTTTATGCACAATCAAATAATTATTTATATCAATAATGTTAAATTGCTCTACTTTGAGGTTGTCGCATATTAGGATCCAAGGACAAATAATACGACGTAAACTGGAGATCCAAAAATGGTACTCTCAACTCCAAACTAAATGCACTTGTTGTGCGATCAGCTCTTAATCCATCATATAAATATATGTCCTTCAATAATCTTAGAGATTCATTATGGGCATCTGCTGCAGTAGGTGCATCTCTGAAATAAATATAGCCCTGTGCCAGCTCATCAGCACCTTCTCCACTGAAGATCACAGTTGTTTCTGTATTCTGTTTTATATATCTCGAAATGAGATACATTCTGCAAGGTAAAGAGTTTCTTATATCTCCTAATTTTCTAATTTATATCGAGTCTTAGATCTCCTAATTTTTTAATTTATATTATTGAATAATTTGAAAACTAAATAATATATTTAATGTTTTGTATCTTAATATAATTTGTCTTACCCTATTGAAGCTCGAATAGTCGTAATGTCGTATGTTTCCAGTGAATAAATAACTTTATTCAATACTTCAATTACATCTTTCTCTGTAAAGATGATTTCATGATGTTCACTTCCAATGTAATCTGCAACCTTAATAAAAAAGTTAATAAAAGAGTTTAAGCTTTTAAGTAATTTAATTACTAGTGAAGAAAAATGGAAAGAAAATGTGAAAGCTTTGACCTACCTGTTTTGCAGCAATAATATCTGGACTGTCACCCATACCTATTGCAAAACTCTGAATCTTGTATGGTAAATTGTGTTCTTTCGCATGTTTCACTAGTAGAGCTGCAACTAAACTAGAATCTAATCCACCTGACAATAGGCATCCTATTCGTCTATCAGCCATTAATCGTTTTTCCACTGCTGTTGAAAGTAGCTTTCGAATGTTGCCATGGATATCTTTTGGATTCAAAGCTGCAAAAGATAAATTAGATGTATTATAAAATGTACTTTTAGCGTGTATTTTATTAAAATTTTATCTACTCACTAGACCAAGGAGTATACACCTGAAAAAAAGGTTTGTCACCAGGTTTATAATAATTGATATTAGACAGCATCTTTGTTCGACCATCATGTAAAATTTCATATTCCTCATAATGGCCTGGACGAAATGGTTCTAGTGTCCAATTGCCATTTATGCGTTTTGAAATTTCCATTAAACCCTAAAATAATTTTGTCACATTAGTAAAGTGTTTTATAGAAATGTAATGTTTATAATTAGCAAAGATTTGGGGAAAGAAATATTTTTTTAATTATTAATGTAATGTACCTTGCTTTCTGAAGAAATGGCTAACTGCCCATCATCTGAATATAATTTAAATAGTGGTCTTACACCATATGGATCTCTGCCTATTAGAATTCTCCTTTTGACAACATCCATTAAACAAAATGCAAATACACCATCCAGAGATCGGGCAACATTGTCAACACCACCACTTGCATATAAATGCATAATCACTTCCACGTCGCATTTAGTAATGTATTCAAAATGATGTTGTTTTTGTAGCTGCAATATTGCATTTATATTATTTGATAAAGAATAATTATAATTATTATCTCATTTTTATTAAAATTACATATATATTTTAAAATAAAATACAAAAATAATAATTTAAGTATCATTTTAAAGTATCATATTTCTTGCTACAAAGTTAGAGCTATTAAAATGTTGCTTATTAAAGAAATCTATCACATTGATAAAATATAACAATATAATTAATATATAATATATATATATACATATATATGTGTGCATAAGCACAAATATATATTTATATGCACATAATATTTATATTATATTCTATTAATGATAGATTTCTTATTGTTATAAAGCATATCACTCATTCTCAGCAACTTATAAATTTTTGGTAACATTAAATGACAAATTTAATTAGCATTTTCAAGTTCTACTTGCTAATAACACTATCAAATACTACCAACTTTGTTTAATAATTAATGATATTATTCAGTAGTATATAATAAATGTGTAAAAAATGTAAAATATATTACTTTATCCAATTATATAGCTCCCCGTGGCAATAAGAAAAAGATTTTGGGTATTTACATATTCTGTCATTGCAGCATTCCATACAGACAATCAACAATCTAATCTATGAAATCCTAAATATCCATTCTGTAAGAAAAAATATATATGTATAAAAAAAATATATTACAAGAATAGCATTAGTGATAGTGAAAAAATTCTAATGTTAACAAAACAATCACTTCTGTTTTCACTTCTGTTCCACAATGTGCTATCTTGTCAAAATTTGCACAGATGCAAGCCAAGGGCTGCATCTCCAATCCAAACAAGGGCTGCAATTCCACAAACGTTGTAATTTAACTAAAATTTTTTTTAAATTATTGCCACTGGTGTTTTATTGCGAGAGATTCATATTTATTACTAACTGTTAGATTAAATATATATATCTTTGTATATATATATATAAAAAAGATTAAACTGTAGTATAATTTAATTAACGAATGCCAGAGTAAAATAAAATATTAATTAAATTTATTAATTAAAAAAGCAAATAAAATGGATCATTTTCATTACTGTAGATTTCTTCTTCCTTCCTTTATGGCAATGAAACGCACAGTTTAGTGATCGTGGTATTACTGTAGACTTACTTGGACTTAATTTTGCGCGCCACGTGTTTCCACGTCTATATATACACGTTGCTTATTATTGTTGGCCTAGTTTACATCAAACACTTGATACGTGTATCAATTAGTGTATTTGAACTGGTCAGCCAATAACTGAACCAATTTACTAGTAATTTATTATTTGATACGCGTATTGCTTGATGTAAACTAGGCCATTATTATCACACTATCACACTCCTCCCCTCCAGGCCTTCGTCACTTTGAAAGAGAGAGAGAGAGAGAGATGTTCCGATATAAATTGCCAGTATAGAAAAAAAATCTAATCCATGCAATGCGAACTATACATTTCAAGTACAGTACATATATATATATATATCGGAAATATCCTTGCTCTCATTTCCGATGATGTAACAACCTATAGGAGCGTCGAGAAGAAAAAAAATTCTTTCTTGTCAGATGCATGTATAAATGACATGTTGGTCACGTGCTTCAGCACGAGACTTGCATGTGTCATTTAATCAATGGAGACCTTTATACTTTTTATTTTTGTTTTTACATTTTTTTATCTCTTTCCAAGCGATAAAAATGATAAATCTAATAATTATTTGAATCCGCCAAGTATGTACGCTACTTAAGGTCACGTGACCCTCTGAGCATGCGCAAAAAATCTGATATCACCGGATATGAAGTGAAATAAATAAAATACTTGGTTGTTTGTGTTAACCGAATTAAAAATGGCTTGTCGAATGCTACATATTTGTAAAGTTGTAAATACTTCGATAAAAAATGCTCAATCTGCGAGCAATGGTAATGCGACAAATAAAATATTTCACTTTATTATATAATTTATATGTGTACTGACATTTATCATAGAACTAACCTATACACTCTATTTACTTTAACAAAATTCTAAATTTTTTTCAGGTATATGTAATTTATTGTCTGTCAACCACTCGCATTTGTTAAAAACACACATCCCTTTACTAAATAATGCAAGAAATTCTTCGTTTTTTGTGAGCAGTATGTAAAACATGGATTTAACATTTTGGTACTTTCACAATAGAAAATATGATGCATTTCATGTTTTCTTTTACAGAATCTGCAGATGAATTATGGAAAGGTGTAACAACTGTCAGTAATGCAGGAAGACGTAGAGGTAGAGCAAAAGGATTAGCGAGAAAAAGAGATCTAAACAAGGGTCAAATTATAGGTGTAGGAAAAATTCCAATACAATTTCCTGGCCTAAATACACCTGTATTTAGAGGAAGAGAATTACTTAAACAGCAAAAACTTCCTGTGGATCCTGAAAGAGAGCAGAGGCTTGCACAAATAAGGGAGAGTCAAACTGAAAAGAAAAGAATAAAATTGTCACCATTAGAGCGTGGTTGGACGAGCGCTGGAATGGGTGGCAGAAAGATTGGACCACCTGATTCTATCGGAGAAGGTTAATATTTATACTATAATTAAGTTTATATGATTAAATTAGAAAATTATATGGTATGATATTTTTATGTACCTTATAATAATTAATATATTTGTCTTACAGATACTTTTGAAGGTTTTGAAACTTGGATTTTGGAAAACAAATTGATAACTTGTATGACTGGTAACTTAGGACGTAAGAGTAGAATCAGTTCATTTGTTGTGACAGGAAATGGAAATGGATTAGCTGGATTTGCATTAGCAAAAGCACCTGCAGCCAAAGCAGCCTTAAAGACAGCTAAGAATAGAGCAGGTCAAAGACTAATATATGTTCCTAGATATAAGGAACACACCGGTAAGGAAATAACTATAAATATAATATAAAAATTATAATATAAAATTTTTACTGCTTGTTTTAATATCACTTTGTACTTTTCAGTGTTACATGATTTTTTTACACAGTTTGGAAATACAAAGATATTTGTAAGGAAAATGCATGAAGGATATGGACTTATATGTCATCGTGCACTAAAAGCATGTTGTGAGGCAATTGGCATAAAGGATATGTATGCCAAAGTAGAAGGAGCTAAGAATGTGAAGCATATTATAAAAGCATTTTTATTGGTTTATTGCAACAGGTATGTATATAATGTTCTAAAGGCATATTATATTTTTTCTTTTATTTGTATTAAAGAAATTAAAGAAAAGAGATTTTATATATATATATATATATATATATATATATATAATATGAAATTAAAACGGCAGATTGCAAAGATGTGTTCATTAATATATATATTAAAGTATTTTATTATCAAATTATAGTTTATTAACAATGATTTCTTGTCTATTTAAATTTTATGGCTGCATTATAAATATTATAATCCTTTATTTAATGTCCACAAGCATATTTTTATAGAATTTTAATTTAGTTACATTATTGAGAATATTGAATAAAATAAAAAAAAGTAAAACTAGTTATAACTTTTTCACACTGTTCTTATGACATGACAGAAATTATATTTTAATTATTGCAATAGGCTATGAAGCAAATCAATCCCAAAATAATATGAAAATATTTGCAGAAATCATATCAACAACTAGCGGATGAAAAGCGATTACATTTGGTCGAGTTTAAATCGGAAAATGGAAATTATCCAACAGTACTTGCTTCACCATTGAAAGTCAGAAAACCAGAACAAGTGCCGTCTAACGAAACTCTTGATTTTACTCAATACATAATGGGTAACAGAGTAGTGTTGAAAAAGAAGAAATTTCCGCCGTTTTTCACTAAACTTCCGTCTTATCAAAACAGATTATTAAAAATGGAACGAATTAGAAATTTTGACGATACGAGACTACATTTATTAGCGAAATACGGAGCATTGCATAGTTTTCTGACTGAAAAGTATCCAGAGGCACAGCTACTTCGTAAACGAAAGCCAAAGGAAAATGACGAAACAATAGAATAAAAAAAACATTTTATGTAAATGTTTCAAAATAGAATCTTTATGATTAAAATATTATATTAGAAAATAGAATTAAACACGTATTCTAGATATTCCAAAATATTTGTCCTTTTTTCCTAAAGATTCTTTAGATAACCGATTTTTCTTTTGTAAAAATTTAAGCAATTTATGCAGTTTACATATATATTAAATATATTGCTATTACAGAATATAAGTAATATTACATATTACAGAATATTACATATAAATGTAAAAATAATTTTACTATATTATTTATAGATATATTTTTTATTTTATTCTATTCTATTTTTTCATGAAAATTTTTTTAGTTTTGTCCAGCGGTCTTATTATATATATATTATATTTATTTTATTGTTATATTTATTATTATATTATTACAATTTGTTTCACTACGCAAGTGTGAAAATTTTCTACTAGTACTGGTCTGAAGTTGTAGATATCGAAATTTATTGTGAATGAAAGTATTTATAATTAAATCAATTGACCGAGTGACCACGTGCTCAGTTAATTCTTTTTTCCGGAAACGCAATATAGAGTAAATTACAGCGTCTAATAATCAATATTTGTCTAATAATCAATAAATTGCCACCACATGTTTTTTCAGGTTCATGTATTTTTATTAGTGCCCATTCCTATCAGTATATAGTTTAAATTGTTTAAAAAGTTTGTTTACCTTAATGTAGATGCTACAAATTGTATGTAAAATTGAATACTACATTCTTCATGATATAATACATTCGCAATTCATAATTTGTGAGAAATTAGAAGCTAAAAAATTCGCAATATTTCACATATTATTTTCTAATATTAGGTGACGATACGCCTTGTTACGTGATTGAATCTTCCCCCCTCCATTCATAGGTTAACCACGTGCGTTTAATCATGTTTGGTGAAATACGTGGAAGGAATTTGATGCATTTTTTTTTTTTTAAGGTTTATTACGAAGTTCTAGTGTAGGCGATTATATTACGTTTAAACTATAATTAATTATTTGTAAACAATACTGCCATCTGAATATAATGAGGTGTTCCTTTAATATTGTTTCTTTTTGCCTTTCAAAAGGTGAACAAAACTTATTCTTAAATTTAATCGTTGAATAATGCGCAAGATAACAATATTAAAATTAATAATATAAAAAATTTTTATTAATTAATATATTCGGTAATTATTGTTAAAATTTGATATTGTTATCTTGTAAATTAATCAATGATTATGTTTAAATCATATCAATAGAAATGGACATTAGTGAGATTAGCAATGTGTAAAACAAATAATACGAAAAATATGAAAGTTTTTATTGTATTAGGAGTGATAGAAATTAGCATGGTATCATTACCCAGATAGTCACAGTAATTATTATGACATTATTTTGATCAAAATAGTGGCTATCTGGGTAGATATCGAAAATCTATTGAAAGAAATTTTGAATTTAATTTTTTAAAACTTATATTTATATATATGTTTTTTGTTTATATATTTCTATTAGGCATTAAAATGAATTTGGATACAGCTTATATCGGTAATCACTTAAACATTTATATCTTTACAATATGATTATATTGTACATCTATAAATATCTTCTTTTTGTATCAAATTATGGAAATTAGAAAGAAAGTTTTGTATGTGCTTATAAAAGATTGCTTAAAATATATTAGTTTTTTTCATATAAATATTTTATGTTAGGCCCACTTATCGATGACTGGATGGACCATCTTAAGGAAATCATGAGAGAACGAGAGCAAGAGATAATTAATGAAAAACGTGATTTGATTTTGCCATGTGTAGGTAAGTAATACAAATAAATAAATAAATAATGTAAAAAAGTAAACCTGATAAAAATATGTTTGTAGAATATTCAAGTAACAATGCTATTAAAATTATAACAATAATTATTTTCAATTATAGCACTTACAACACATATTATGAAAGCTGCCATTTACATAGCAGACTGTCTAACACTGGAACCACATGTAAAGCAACATGTAAAATACATGGCTGTTGAGTTGTTTGATAAATTCATGAACAAAAGCTTTTGGGAGGCTTGCAATGCCAATATGGAAAACAATGATGAATGGTATGAAGTTTATCAGAAAAAAACTTGCAATTATCTAAAGTTATATCTTGTATCATGTTTTCAATTGGCAAGCAAAATGAACTCTCATGCCAATAGTTTAACAATAACGCAGGTACGTTAAGACAAATTAAAATGCCATGGTAAATTTTGTCAGATGAAATCATGCTCCATTTTTCTGTGTTTTATTAGGTTCTGGAGCTTCTACAGATACTTGACCAAAATTATGAATGCACACAAGATATGGTGTCCTTTATGGAAAAAGAAATTTTCAAGAAAGTAGAATTTAAAATGCCCCTTTACACACCAGTATATTGCATTGAAGTTCTTCTGACAGCAACAGGACTCGGAGAAACACCAAGTACAGTTGAAATTTCGATGAAATTATTAGATGTAGCTTATTTAAAGGTTTGTAAGATTTTTCTATCTAATTTTTTATGCAACTTTTAAATCGATAATATATTTAAAATTTTATTTTAGTACAAAACAGTGTATCACCACTATCAATCATATTGTTTACGGCAAAATATTCTAATGAGTGAAGAAGAAAAGGATCTGAAACTAAGGATATTGAAATCAAATACACTCTTCTTAAGCGCAGCGATAGTATTGTGCACAACATATTTTATAAACTCAGGTATCAGTGATTCAGACATCATTACCAAAAAAATTATGGCAGATAAATTGGCAGAATTAACAGATACAAACTCCACTGGCATTACTGTTATGTCAAATATATTGTTCCAAATAGTTATGGACAAATAATATAAATAGATATATAAAGATATTTATGTTAATATAAAGAAATATATATTATGTAAATATATATAAATATATCAATAATATTTTGTAAATTGATAATATATAATAAATTGTTTTCATAAAAAATCCTTTACTAAAAATGCTTCGATATCTTTTTGTATCATCTTCAATAACTGTTATTCATTCAAAGATATTTGCATGTTATATACATGCATAAAAATGTTACAAAAATGAATGCTAAATACATACATGATATAAAAATTTATGTTGTTTCTTATGTTAAAATTATGTATTATAAACAAATAATTATGTAACATTTTAATAAAAATTTAATTTAAAAATCAAAATTTTTAATAAAATATTAGTAAATAATTATGAAAGTCTGGATAAAAATAAAATCTGAAAATGATATACATGATTAATTGACAAAAAAGAGCCTCAATCTCCAGAGCAAATGCATAAATCATATATGTATATGCAATTATTGAAAACTTTTCTAAGATTTGAAATTACCGCGTTTATTACGTCACTCCCCCTCTCCTTTCTTTATATAGTTTTGTAGCATATCCTTTGTTTTATACTAACCGTATTATTTTGACAACGATCATTAGGATATTTTTGACAGTTGTGCTTTCAATCTCTTTGTATTCTTCATCTCTTTTAGAATTTTGGTAAGTCCACTGTTTGTTTCTACTGTTTTGTCATTGCATTTTTCTTTACAAGCATATATTTTATATTTTAGCCTTATGTACGGTGGAATTTTTGACATCTCGTTGTGAAGTTTTTTGTTCCTTAATGGCTGGAATTAATTAAGAAATTGACCTTGTCAAAGTTATTGTGGATTACATGAAGATTGATGCACACGATTTTTATAATATTATGTATGTATATTATTTACTATTCATTTTTGCATCATTTCTATGCATGACATGAATATTTCTGTTAACAGCTGAAAAGGTATCAAAACATTTAATTAAAGGATTTTTCATTTTATTATTAAGACATTTATTTAGTTTCTAGTTTTTTATACATGAAAAAATGTGTTTTTTCCTGAGAGAGATATATACATATATATCATAAAATTTATTTCAAAGTATAATTGGATAAATAGAGATTTAGTATATAAAACTTGTGCACATTTATTTCCAGGAAATTAAAACGTGCTCCTTTCTCGCGCAAGAAGATATCTCACCTTTCTATCGATTCAAGTTCGGTTTGATAGTAGTTAGTGGGGGAGGGAGGTATCATTGACCCCAATGGTTCCTTTCTTTTCTCGGTCGCTCTCATTTCACCCCTTTCACCAGGAGTGCGCGCGCGTGCTCCACATCCATTCATATTCGCGGAATGTACGCTACTACGAGAGAGTAATAAGTACTATCTGTCCTGCCAAAGCGGACGCTCTTTCTATATCAAGCTATTATTCGCGAGGTCTAATTTACTACGCTCTACTACAAGGTATTGCTGTCCATGAGCTGCGATCAGGGCTGGATGTGTAAAATCATTTGTCTTGCTCTGCATTAGAATTATCAATATAATAATTATATTAATTTTTATTCTTGTTTTCAATAATGTCAAATTGTTCCAATTAAATTATTATCTAGAATGTTAAATAGCAAAATTTTAAAAATACTTAATCTGGTTTCATCCTGTCATTCTTTGACATTAAAAAGAGATCGCAAAGTTTTCTTTATAAGATTTTCTCTTCTATAAGTACATAAATGACTTTAAAAAGAGGGATAGAGTATAAAATTGTATAAAATTATTATGTAAAAAATACATATATGTATAACTTATTGTATACTTTCAACTCATATTTACATGTCATCTTTGCATTCTATTAATTATACTTTTTTCCATTTCAGAGAGAACTTTCTCAATTTGACCTAATCAAAGTTTGAGAGAAGATTTTGATGTCATTCTCTAAAGGTGAGAAGAGAAGATAGAAGATAGAAAAGAGGGGGCTTTTCTCCCCTTCTGTGAAGGCCGGGCTTGACTTGGGACACACGATACACCACGTCTGTCTGTCTGTTTGCATGTATAAGTGTGCTACACATTGGCATTCACTCTCGCGTCGTTTCAAGATGGAGAGAAAACAACGTCGCGATTACTCTCGCGCAAGGTGGTTGTAAACACAAGCAGTGTCGTCGATGATCCTGCCATTTTCACGCGAAATCGTGCGATGGCAAAGTCCGTCCTGAGTTCGGACACGTTGCCGAAGGCAGGTCGTGTGAATGAAGGTGAGAAAGAGAAGGATTTTTTCGTCCCTTCTAAAGGAGACGCCTCTCCTGTCACAAGATGTTTTTTACTTGCCCTCTTCTTTGTGCTTTGTCTTTTTTCTTCCTTCTTTTTTCACATAAAAAAAAGAACCGAGCATAGATTAAACATTTTATTTTTTTTTTAACTGCAGACAAAGCATGAGGAAGTAGCAATCAAGTAAAAAACTATCGCGTTCTCGCGTGTGCAACGATTAGTCATTGCATTGGCATCCATAATTGTATTTGTGTGATTTTTCAGTATGTCGTGAATGGCTGGTGCACGAGGATGGGGCGCTGGCCTACCGGCTCCAGGATGAAGAAAGTATGTACAAATTGTATGAATATGTTTGTCTTTTTTACAAGCGTGCAAAGTGACATTTGTGCAGAGCTGTCCTAAGAATATCACCTGCCCTTGGCTGACAAATCTTTGATAGAGCAAAGACGATAAATAACTATGGAATATATAAAATTTAAAAAAAAATCAAAATTGATAATAAATTCATTTAAGTGAAATTTTATGAAATGCAGTTTAATTTGTTGATCTGATTAAAGCAATAGTAGAAATTTTATAGTTATGCAAAAGAAACAAAGAATAGACAATATAATAATATTGTATAGAAAAAAAAGAATGTTTTGTGTGGAGGAAATATTTCAGAAAAAGATTTGACAGCTTTGCTTTTTATGTTGATTATTTGTAAGAGGCTTACATTAATGTCTGATTTTTTGTTACACAATTTTTGTTTTTGATTCACAGTCAAAGAACATTATACAGGCAATAAGACGCGTAATGCACAGGTGAGGGAAGATGCGCCACGTGCCAGAGTTGAACAGGAATTGGAAGCATTGAGATATCAAAACTACGTTCAACAACAGTTAGTAACACGATTGGAATAAAATATATATAATTGTTTAAATATTTTTCTTATTTATGTAAAGATTGTTTAATTATTTCTCTTTTATTTATAAAGGGAAGAGAGAGATGCGCTTGTCGCGCAACAAATCGCGATTTCCCTGGAGCGAGAAGAGAGGCAAAGAGAGCGCGAGCTTCAAAATCTGATGAGATTACAATTAAGATTGGGAGATGAAGCTATGCAGCAGGATATTGAAAGACGTATACAGGAAGAGAAAGACGAGGTAATTATAAAACTTTCCTACTAGATTAGCAAGTTAATATCCTCGTTTATACAGAGAACGATTTTACATTAGGAAAAAATTTGTACAAGTTAAAATGTTTTTTATATCACAGGAATTGGCGAGAAAATTACAGCAACAGGAGCAAGAGGATCATCCGGACGGTCCGGAAGACCAGCAATTAATGTTGGATCAAAAACTGGCGATGGAAGCACAGGACGCAGAGTTGGCAAAAATGCTTCAGGATAAAGAACGGGCAAAAGCACGTAAAGCGCGAGAGAGAGCGAGACAAAAAAAGTTGGAGCGTGAACGTTTGCAACAGCAGGAGCAGCAACAACAGCAACAGTTCGAAGAACAGAATCCCATGACGCGACCACCGAGACCGGACAGGTTGGACTTGAAAACTCCACCAGTCAAGAATCGAACTCGTCATCCGGTCAACTATTCACAGTATCCAGATCCTGAAGAGATCCAGACATTGGACGACCCCGTCGATGGTTCGCAAGAAGTGGCGAATGTCGCGGCTATCATTGATCCTACTTATAATATGCATCGTGGCACTTCCAGCAGTTCGAGTAGCACTATAAGCCCAGTTTACGCCTTGCCGACGCCATCGCAAGAACTGATCGACGACGCGCCCTGTTACATGCCGATTCAAGGTCAGCGACGAAATCAAGTCCAATCGCCGTCCAACGTACACGAGGAGAAGCACAAGCGACGCGTTAAGGACGGATGTAAGCATCAGTGAGAGGAAGAAAGGAGGAACGCTACGAAAGAGAAAAGTTGAGAGATCAGTATTTTTTTATAAAATATATTCTATTCTTTTATTTTTCGTATTGTCATCAAATGATGTAAATTAATATATAGCTAATTCATTTCTAAAAAAGATTATTGTTTAAAAAGATAAATGCAATTTTGTTGTACATTAACGAACACATTTATTTGATATATGTATTTACTATTTACTTTCGAAAATTTTTCAAGATTTTTAGATTATTTTACATTGACAGGATTACTGCCATACGTAATGCGACGATGTAATTCGCATTACGCAAACTACCATGTGCCTTTTAAAGGGCATAAAAATCTAAGACGGCCTTGACAACACAAGACATTATCTTAGCAATAAAAGTTACGATTACTGATCTATCCAAATGGATAGATTATACCGTCCTCGATTTTGTATTTACGTTTCTCGTGTCCATAGTTGTTATGGAATATACGACATTAGCATAAAAGTTGCTTTACCAGTGACAATGCTTTTCGATATTAAAATTTTAACATTTTTAACAAGAAAGTTGAAGATATTGTAGACAATCATAGGATGATTTACAAGAGATATATATTGTAACGCACACTTAGATGTGGCAAAAAAGTAGAATATTGATTGACTGTAAAAGTTTATCACAGAGTCTCAATACTTAGATGATTCTGATACATAAAGTATAATTGAAACATACGAATAGATGAGAAAAGATTAACTTTTTTTCCGAATCATACTTCAATATTTAATCGAATTTAAATATCTCTTGTATTATTGACATGTTCAATTTGTTTCTGCAGAATGACATATGTTTCCACTACATATTGTATACAAAGTTTTTTTAGCTAATATACGCGATATTAAATTGATAATAAAACTACTTATATATAAAACTTTTTTTTATAATTTTTAAAATAAGATAGAATGTAGAGAAATGACAACACTGCCAAAGATAACACTAACATGTTGGCCTTTAAACAAATAAAAGAAAGTGTTCATAAAATGTAAAGATCTATATCAAGCGATCTATATCATGTTATATATATTGCAATCTTTTTCTCCGAACTTTAAAACACGATGTGAGCAAACTTTAAAAAATGTTTACTATTATACATATTATTAATTATAGTATATATCGTGGGAGAAATGTTAGAATGCAGGAAAATCTTATGAAAAGTTATAATTATTTCCCTCTTTCCTTGCCACCTCAAAAATATGTTTAATTATCTATAACTAAAATGACAAGTCTCAGAATTCGTCATTAATTCTCGATTATTATAATAGACATACACGGCCTTGTTTCATACACTTGCACGTTTACATAACACACATACACAATATATTATTTACTAATTTATCTAAGGACTATTCGAAAGAATCAGAATCTGTATTGATAGCTTTAAGTATTTCTCATATGTACGTGTATGTATATATGAGAATTCATTTGTAATAATGTATATTTGTGGTGATTGGAGTTTTTTGCTCTTTTTTGATATATATATATATATACTATATATGTATTATCTTTCTTTTATTATCTTCATTTATTGTATTATACATGAGTACATTAATAAATTATTTACAAGGTATGATACACTTTGCTTTTTTTCACGGAAAAATACTATGGAAATTATTAATATTATGCAAGATGTAGAGCAGAAAAGGAACCCTGCACTATAAAATCGAAGATTTTATTCTAGAAGTATATTTTTGACATGATATTTAATCGTAGCTTGTCATCATGAAATTTTGTTATTTGAATGAAATATGTCTATACAGCTGACACACAGCATGGCACAGTTATGACTTGTACAGGCTTATGCAAAATCCGAAAACAATCTTCGCGTGAAAATTGTATACATTTAAAAAAAATTTTTTTTTTTAAATACATTTCTAATTATCGCGTACTATCATATTTCAAGTACTGCTACTACAGTCAATTACATATACAATCACAACTTAAAATATATAATTTGAACAAAGAAAAACTAATTGCTTTATATAATTATATAGTCACTCGATCGAAACAAGTTTAATTGTTTGTAGAAAGAGGAAAAAATTGAATTCAACATTGATGACATAAATTTGATATCTCTATAAAATAACATCGAAAAATAACAAAACTTCTCATTTCCATATATGGTCCCAGCATAGTGTACACAAAAAAAAATCTTTCACACTTTATAATAAGACTAATAAACTTAAAACATTTAAAATTTTGTCGCTTAAACTTCTAATCCAATAATTCTATCCACCTTCATTTGTTAAACATTCATGATTGTTTATTATATATTAGCGAAAAATTACTTTGTACTATATCCCAGCAAGAATATAGAAAGGAACTGTAATCGAAAATTTTACGCTCGTAAAATATGTTTCATGATATTTTATTTCCGCATAAAAGTAGAAAAAAAAGTTTACAATCTTTACTATGCATCTATTATTGAAAATTAAAGTTTGCGACGACGCTAATTGTACAGACAATTTCAACAATTTTAACTTTTTAAAGATGCATAAACGTAGATTATATATATATAAAAACAAGATATTCTAAAGAAAAATATGACAAATAAATGTAAATTTAAATTGTAACGAAAGATTCGTAGATGTGCAATGAATCATCAGAACTCTTTCGCGAAAAGTTTCTTATTTAATCTGTTGTACTATTAAATTTTTTAGGTATGAGAAATTTTGTCTGAAATCGTGATCTAAAGTTCTTCACAATTAAACGACTGTAACAGCCCGGTTTTAATTTAGATTCCTGGACAGCTGGCTGTGGTTCTCCTTTTTCTTGATCAGGACTCGGTATGAACGATTTTACTTTTCTGTGGAAGACAAACACAGGGAAGGTAATCGACTTATACTTTCGTATAATTCTCAGAATCTTTTAAACGATAAGACAGTGTAAGAGAAAGAGAGAATACAGTGATATGAAAAAATGTTTGGATTGATCAATTAATGAATAATGACCTACGATGCTGATTCGGAGAAATGCTTTTGGATCTGGTTTGGGGTGGTGAGAAGATATAATTCGGAACTTTCCCAATTTCTGTAAATTGAAAATAACAATTACACTAAACTTACGGATATCTACTGCATGACAGAAAGTGAATAGCATTACGTCACAGTGAACTTTTAATTGAATAAAAAAATTATTAAATTATTATATCAAAAGTAATTTGAGTCTTCAATTATATATAAATCGTTCATATTTATTATTATTACAAAATTTATTATTACATTTTACATACAAATTTTATTATTATATTTATTATCCCTTATTTATTATTACAGAAAACATGTTTTGTAATATACAAAACATTCTGTATTTACAGCATGTGTTCCTTGTGACGTAAGACCATTTATCTGATAAGAGTTTCGAGCTTACTTTTCTCATCTAATGGCACATCATCCGTTTTTTCCGGTTGCGAGAAAATAAATAGATCACTGGATTCTTTGCTCTCACTCTTGCGCGGTCTGCCTCGCTTCCGCTTTACTGTATCCTGTTTCGTGCCTTCCTTGATCATCGAGGTCGACGTAGTTCTTCTCTTCGACTCGGTAGCATCTTCAGCAATTTCGCTCTCCAACTGTAGAGCTGGCTCCGTCACCTTAAAAAAAGTTTTTAATAATATTAAATAGCGCATAATTATAAGTATCTTCTGCTATTCTCTGAAATCTTACTCTGTCTTCGTTCTCCTCCATCGGTTCCTCCACTATTGGCTCCACCGCGATGCTTCTCGTGCGAATGTTTTTGGTTCTCCTCTTCACATCTTTGTGTATCACGTCTGCGCTGGAAGCTCTTCTCTCTCTGACATTATCTAGCGCAGCCTCCTTCCGAGTGGATCTTGTCTCCCTCACCGACGGGCTCAGAATCTCCTCCAATTCCTCCGGTATGGACAGGATCGACGAGCTTCGACTGCGCGTGCTTCTCGTCAATCTGTTACTGACGTCCGACGTCTTCACGGAACTCCTGAGTGTCCTGGACTCCTCCTCCGACTCGGCAATTTCCGGGATAACTTCCTTTATTAAACTACTGGACCTACGCGTCCTGCCAGTCTGCATTGTGATCTCCTTAGGCACTGAATTGCCGCGTCTTGGCCTCGTTTTAATCTCTTTAAGCTCCCTCTTCTCTTCCGCTCCTGTTTTCTTGTTCAAATCCTTCGTGGACAATCTCAAGGAAGATCTGTTCGTCGTCGTTTTGTCCGCATCGAATGACGCCGAGGATTTTTTTACACGCAGAGACCTCTTCTTCGTAGTTTTGTCCTCTTCATCGTCGCTCGTTGACTTTGCGTCTTCCGCCTGCAATTCTTTACTCGAAGTAGAAGATCTAAGTCTTCTCCTCACTGGTAGTTCATCCTTGATGCTCTCGGAGTCGCTGTCTCTGCTCTCGCTCCGAAGAGTCTTCTTCCATCCCGAGGTAGACCTGAGATCTCTTCTGATCGACGGCGACGAGGGTGCACTGAGATTCTCGTCTGACGTTCTCGTCACGAGCGAACTTATCAGCACTTCCTTTGCGAGAGAACTCGCTCTTTGACTGCGCAACAATCTTTTCGGTGAAGAACTCAGCTCCGCTGCCGTAACTGAACTTGCTCTCCTTAATCGCGGTGGTTTTTCAAGATCTATCGACGAAGAATCTCTCCACAAGTCTGATATCATTGAAGTCGCCCTTCGTAATAATGGAGGTTCCTCAGACATTGTACTCTGTGACGGCGAACTTCCGAGTGAACTCTTCGCTGTGAAACTCTCTCTTCGCGGTGGTCTTTCAGTTTTACTACGCGACGGAGAATCTGTCATCACGTCTTTCGTTATCGAACTTGCTCTTCGCGAACGAGTGAGCCTTTCAGATTCCATTTGCTGCAACGAAGTATCCGCTGCTTTTTCCTTTATCATCGAGTCCAGTATAGGTGACCTAGTCAATCGTACATAAGGAACATCCAATTGAATGTGACTCCATTTATCCTTCGAGGGACTTTCAGCTTCTTTTGATAGGTTCTCTTGACATTCGGTCGATTCAGTTTCCATCTGCGAACGAACATTTATACTAGTATCATTATCCTCGACTTCGGGCTGCAATATAACTTTGTCAACTCTTTTCGCGGAGACGATCTCTCTTTCATCCGGCTGCTTGCTTTTTTCCTCGGGTTCACTCTGGATCTTCTCCACTTCAGGATTCTGCGTCGCGTAGCATCCTTGTAAATTGGAGAATCTACCGTTTCTTGCCTTCGGCTCGGTTTCTTTAACATTCGAATCGGACTCGTCATCCGTGATGTTTGACATGTCGTAAAATATATTCTCTGGATGAACGGTCTCCACTGAATGCTCCTCTTTTCTATCTGCTTTACTGGATGTCATCGGCGTCGCGCTTCTGCCACTCGCGACGGACTCGTCATCGGTAAAATCAACGTCAGCTATCACTTGCGGCACAGATTCTCGCAGACCGTTGGATTTTGCGACGTCGTATCCCTCAGTTGTTTTGTATCCGGGGTTCCAAGTTTCGGACGAACGGGGAACGGAAACTCTGTCCTTCTCTTGCATTTGCGCGTCGTCCAGATTCGTGGATAGACTCTCGAACGTCTCCTCGTGCTCATCCTCCTCGTCTTCTCCGTCGTCTCGCAGTCGAAGCAACTCCTCATCGGACTCGTCCAAGCCGATGAAACTCGTTTCCGCGATCTTCTCGGAGAATACGGCCGGTTCTTCGTAAGGATTCTGCGAGCTTGGACTTTCCTCCCTCGCTATATTTCCATTATTGTATTTATTTTCACTCTTGCTTGCTTCAGTTCTGCCCTGTAGTACATCTTTTTCTACACTATCTTGTCGTTCTAAAAGATAGCTTTCATCATAATTAAATTGTTCGTCGCGCTTCATAGACTCGTTTGGCAGATCTTCAAGATCTTCTCTTATTACGTTATCCATAAATGATCCCGCTTCCTGATCCTTCTCCTTGTCTTCACAGACTTTCATCGTTCGCTTGAACGGCCGAGGAACTATACTCTTCGCCAGTGGGGTAGATGAGATGGCAAATTTATTACGACCAGCTTTATTTAATTTCCATTGCAACGGACTGGTGCGTCCCGGTGTCCTTGGATAACTGATGTCGATGCTAGTATCGGTAGACAACATGGTGGTTGAATAAAGGGAGGTTTGCGACGATAAATCGCTTCCCTGCAATGTATTCGGATCGATTTGTGATCTGTCAACCTCTTCAGGGATAAACGTCGTCGCGGACAAATTTGAGGATGTGCCGCTCGCTTTCTTCACGCAAGATTCTTGTAACAATTCTATGGGTAAGGCACTTCTTCGGAGGCTAGGTCGCGGACGGGCGTAGCAATAGATCCTGCTGGAGGTGATGCTGCTATTGTCGCTGAGAATCGCGCTTTCGTAATACGCTGACTTGTTTGGACTAAAGTATACGTCATCGCTCGTATTCGTCTTAGAAATGGTGGTGCTATCGCTTGTTTGTTCTTCTTTCTTCTTCTCGTTTTCTTCTTTCTCCTCTTTCTCTACTTCATCTTCATAAGTTAAGGCTTTCTTGGACTGATTAATGTTGAATCGTATCTGTCTATTGATTTTTTTCTCATTTTGAGACAGCCCATCAGCAATCTCTTCCCCTTGCAGTGTCGCGACACTGGACGATGTCGAGCTCCTTACAAGCTGTCTGCTTTTCAGGATCGAGTGCGGCGTTTCCGATACATTGTCCTTGTTCGCGCACGCGGTAAACTTACGCTCTACCAGAGGTGTCTCGAAAGCCGCTCCCAGTCCCGTCTCTCTCGAATCTGATTGATTCAACGAGACGTTCCCGTCTGACAGTTTCCGACGTTTTGCGCTATCCGGTGTGCCGTGCACATCTTCATCCTCGTAGATCTGATCGATTCTACGTTTGCCGAGACTCTTACGCACCAATGCCGGGAATGACACGCAGTTCATGTTCGCGCCGTAATTGTTGAACTTGAGCGACATGCAAGGTACGCTGACGAACGGGATCTGATATTTCTCGTTACGAAGATAGGTCTCCTTGGCCTTCGCGATCACCGTCTCATATATATTTCGCAGCTTGTCATGGCTCTTCCGATGCGACATCGGTCTGGAATAATGTGCTTTTAGATCTACGTCCGAGTTTGTCGCAGTTAATCCGTTCATGGAGAATTGTTTCGTAACGTCTGGTAAAGTCAGGTTGTACGCGTTGAGCATACCGAGCGATGTGGATTGTATATCCTTGGTGAAATTTGATTGATACTGTCGGATCGGATGGCTGCCGATGGCTTCTGTATAACGGCACCGTTGCAAATAGTATAACAATCGTAAATCTTCCGTCTTATTTTCCTCGAGAAATCTGACAAACACTTCCTCTTCCTCGGTCTCCAGCGCCAGATGCAGAATCTCGTTGAGCTTGCCGTACTTCTTGCATGCCCGGAAGAAACAAACCAAGAGCTGTTCGTAGTGACAGGGTGGCCGGCGATGAAAAGCTGATTGCACGAGACCGTGTTCCACCGAGAGACTCACGGCTACACCTTGCTCTTCTAAGGAGGATAGAGGAGGCTTCCTCACGCGGAGGTATACAAGCGCGAGTTTGTGCTGATTATTGCGCACTAAGGTGCGCAATATGAGTCTATGGTGCCAGTCTTTAACATCGGAGTCGGAAATCAACTGGCCGGTCATCATGTCGAGAAATTCCTGATAGTCTTCATGATCGAGCAGCCAAAACGCTTGAGTGAGTTTGATGAGGCTAGGAGTCATTTTGAACGCGGACGGATACTTGATCAGCTGCTTCACCGCGGGATACAGCCGCTGTAATAACATCGCCTGCAAATCCATCAAGAGATAAATTATGATCTGATGCTTGCAACTGATCTCACTCGCTTCCGCTTGATGATAATCAGTTAAATAACTCCGTAGCAGAGACTGCAATGACGGGGGTGGATAAGAGCCACCTGTAGCGGTGCCACCCTCCCTCTCCCATTGTGCCTTCAACATAGAACACTCGCGGGTTATTAGCTCGTCGATGAATAGGTCCTGCTCATTTTCGTTATTGCTATTGTCCTTCTGAAACTGCGCTCGTTTCTCCTTATAAAGTGTTGAGAGCCTCTCGTAAGGATAAGGCACTCTTAGCGCTAAAGATATAGGCAAGGTGCTTTCCACCTCCTCCTCTTCCAAATCTTGCGTTTCGGGCAACAGCCCCACGTCGTAGAACCAAAGGAGCACTTGGAAGTACGTAGACACGCGTTTTAATGTCCTTCGTTGCTTCTTCAAATCCGCCACCGCGGACGGTAATTTACCCACGACACTGGACAGGCACTCCAATTGTTGCGAACAAAATCGCAGATTTCTTACGTCGGCCTCGCCAATGCTGTTACCCGACTGATCGAACAGAGGAACGCAGAGTCGATCGGCGATCATTTTTATCGTGGAGGCTCTCTGGATGCCCCATTTCAGGAATGTAGGATACAAGTAAGAAGCACTACCATCCGACCATTCCATAGCACATTTCACGAGAAAGGTGGACCACCGCTGCTCCAAGCAGAGAGATAACAACATTTCTCGCTGCGCGTTTTGATCGCTAGTGAATGTGAATTCCGAGTTAAATGGCACCAGCCCAACGGAGAGACATCTGTGGAACGTTTCAGACGGCTGTATTAGTATAATCGGACCAGCCATAGCCATTTCGCGCAGCAGGTCCGCTTGAATGCCGCGAGTCATCCAGAATGTTAGCCTCGTTGAGGCTAACACGACCCATTCGAGCGACAAAGAGTTGGGATAGAACAATTCTTCAGGCGAATTCGGACCCGAGCTGGGAAACTCTTGCAAACTGAGCGGAATATACGTGAAGTTCATCACCTGATTGTCCGCGTTGTGAGCGTCCGATCTCGTGCGATACGTCGCCAATATGCTGTTTGGATTCTGACACTCGCTGATAGTGCGCGGCATCTGCTCTTTGTACCATTGATTTAGGTCGAACAGCAGTACCCTCTCGTTGGTGGCAATGAGCAACAGATTATCCTCGCCTCTTCTGGCGTTCGAATCCGTCTGTTCCGAATTGGATCCTCTTTCGACGGTGCATAAGCCAACGATCCTATCTCCCTCGTTCAACTCCGACTCAAATTTGAGACTAGGATCATCTTCCAGGTTGAAATACAAGTTCACGTCTCTGTCATAGTATTTTCTCTCGAACAGCATGGCGTACATTCTCAATACTGGCGGCGTTCTCGACAACTCGTCTTGAAATACTACCCACAAATAATAAAATGGTCTAGGATCATCCGTGGGTTCCAGCAGGGCTAGATGTGTGACCGCCATGTTCTCGTCGACGGGTGCACTGATCCATCTTATAGAACCATCGTTCTGCCAAATTATCACTCTACCCAAACAGCCAGATATTAAACAGCCAATCTTTGTGGAACTAATAATTGCGGTGGTCAAAGTCTCGCCGAGTAAAGGAGATGATTCGAAATCTTCTCTATTAAAACCAATGTGTTTTTCTATACCTAGGAGCAACAAGATAATTAAGATAATAACTTTTTATAAAAATAATTTTAATTTTAAAAAATTAATATTTCTCATTAATTTATTATAATTATTTATAGTAATTATGGTCAAACATGTCTATCACTTTAATAAAAAATGCGCAGTAGCGTCGCTGTCAAAATTGTATTATTGTATACTTTATGTGGAATCTTTACATTTGTGTCTTTTGATCAGAGAGATTCATATATTAATACAGATAAAAAAAAAATACAAAAGTTCTCAATATTTAATCTTCTTATTTAATAATACAATAATCAATAAACAACGTTTAAGTGACAACAGATCGATAGTTACTATTGACATTTAAGCTCATATGAATCTGCTTATCTTAAGAACTGTCTCATAAATCATGTTGACAAATCGCTGAACGAGATGAATTATCAAAAAGAATTCCACAGTCTCTTACAGCAGCCTTTCCTCCTCACGAATCTGCGAGTGTTAATAGCATTGCCATAGAAAATAAAAATTAAAAAATGTTGCTTATTAAAATTTATTGACACTCTTAAAAAATATTATAAGCAAAAGCAAAATAAAATGCATATAAATATTCTGAATATATGAATATTTTTTGTGCTCACATTTTTTTATATCTAATTAATTAAAGATTAAAAACATTAAAAGATTGTTTTATATTCGAATATTCATTATGTATCTAATATGAAAGCAATATTTTAATGTTTAATGCCATTTTAATCATAAAAATTTTATTGATTATTCATTAAAAAAATATTTTCAGAAAGATAAAAAAGATAAAAACTTTAATTATGACATATTTATGAATAAGTATGCAACTGTGAATAAATCAGCTGTCAGATAAGCATGACAATAGATAATAAGTCTCGAAATTTGTGCTTATTCAAGAGACAGAAAGATATAGCGAGATTTTTTGTCATTTAAACGATGAAAGTGTCTGTCATTTAAGTGATAAATACAGTCATAATGAATACTTCGTGTAGTAATTCTTTTATACTTATACTTACGTTTGGTCAATAAATTGTAAGCTGCGTGCCTTTCACGATTAGACTGATGCCTGCCAACAACTTGTTTTGCTGATAGAAAATCTAACTCTGCTGGTGAAGTTTCATCCATAATAGAAGACAAATCATATATGTCCCATGTATGTCTTCGAAGATCAATCATGATATGCTGAAGATTCCGCAAGACTGCACAAGCTATTCCATTCATTTCATTTAATATATTATCTAATCTTTTTTCATTGAACTCTTCCCATTCCGCTCCACCTGACACAACACATACTTGTTCTACACCACATGGCATCTATAAAATATAATACAAGTACAGAAAAATTAATCTTCTTAATATTTTTTTTTTAATAACTTTTTTTAAACAATGCTAAAGTAATATTTACACGAATTGCTCTCAAGACACGGGATGTTGTACAGTCAAATATACACAATAATCCAGAGGAATCTTTCAATTTGCTCGCACAATTATCTACTCCAACTAGCAGCAGTGGAAACTCTCCGGATTGTGCAGGAAACTGAGAAACAGATGTTACAACCCCACGAAATGTCCAACTGCTAATGCTTTCCCCTATTTTTGCATTGAAGACTACTAAATGACAGCCATAACTTAGCCAGGCATATGTTGCATTATGCAGAAATCCTCCATGATACTCGTTGTCATGTTCCTGGGAGATTGTGGACTGGTTATGCTCTTCAGTCTCTGAATTTCTCAATCGACTTGACAGAGGGAATTGTAAGTTTACGATTTTGCGAATCTGCACGAGAAAACAAATTGTCAAGAAATTTATTATTTATTGAAAGAAAGAAAAAGAACTTGTCGAATATATATGTAGAAAATCGTTTTCTTCACAAATTGCGCTCAAAGTAGAGAAACGAGAATTAAGCAATTAACATTATTATATCGATCAGTCATATTAACGATAATTAAATTTACTGAAATAATGCGTTACCTCGCAGTTGACTTCCTCCAGTTCCTTCATTTCTTACAATTTTTTACGCGAACTACCGAGATTTCATCACTGCAAAATACGTTATTCCCAACCGCATCGTTTTGCGCGGAACACGAGGCCACGAAATATATATGTGATAGAGACGCGACTCTCTGGCAATTTTCAACGTAGGGTAAAAATTAACTGCGCATGAGCGAGCGAGTAGCCAATCACAGTACGATCTTCCGTCTTCGTTTCTCTCTCTCTTTGCGCTCTCTCTCAATTCTATGTCCATATGAGACATTTAAAAGGCCATTTAACGATAGAAAATAACAAAAAAAAATAATAAAGCAATAAAAAAAGGAATATTTAGTGTCAAATAAAAGCTGGGAAAAGATTAGAGCAATTTTTCTATATTTTTTTTATTACTTTCGCTCTTACAGACAAGCTGAAGTTTAATTGGCTAATGCGTTTCTTTTTTTATCATGTAACTCGTTGACGTGTCTACATAGCACATAATATATATGCATGTGGTCTATTTGACATTTGTCTCGATGTGCATTTTCGCACATACGTTAGATGTTTTTTTTGTTTTTTGGTGGCTGTGTAAGTTATTTATACAGCGAATACTTAATCACGATTCACTTGATACGAATTTAAATCACGAACTTTATTGTTTGTAACAACGCAAAGATTTTATTAAATGTCATCACATGTCAATTTTTTGCGAGGTTAGAAATATGTAACAACGTGTAAAATTGCTACATAAAACGGGGTTCAATTTTTTTTAAATAAGAGAATATTTTTTTATTTTACGGAATTATAAAGATATTTTAAATTATTTTTGCTCGTTTGGCTTATTAATAATTATACAATTGTTTATTAATAGTTTGTTAATACGCGTGTATGTGTGTATAAGTTTTTTATTATAATAGAATTTGAAAATATTTTCCCATAGATCAAATAAATGTTATAATAGAATGTATGGATTTTCAGGAGAAAAAATGGCATCCAATTCTGATTCTAAAATTAATCAGCATGCTGGTGGCGATCAACAGGAGAGGGATGTTATATTATCATCTATAGAAGATAAACTCTATGATTTAATTAACGAGAAGGGCGATACGTCTAATTCAATTACAAAGGAATTAATTGCCAGAGAATCAGAGCACAATATTGTACAGAATTCTGAACCAGCAACGCAATCTTCGTACACATTGTCGACAATAATGAACACCAGAGACAGCTATGATGATGATGGCAAGATAAGAAGTACAGAATCTTCTGATAGTGAAATTCTTCTTATCGACGAAGGTTAGATGCCTTGCATTTTCTACAAATTTTATATTAAAGCTTAGGGTGATAAACAGACATATTTTTTCCAAATGTTATTTTAATTCTCAAGAGAAACACTACTTTTCTTTAACTCTTAAAAGAAACACAGTTGACAACAACGTTGTTAGTTGTGAGTGTTGCTTTGAAGTTAATGTTGTAAGGCTTCATGCCTATACAAGATTTTTTTAATCTAATAATTAAATCAGTCATCATTGCTGCTTTAACTAAATTCAAGGTACCATATTAGTACTTTAAAAAAATGTCGATAATAAAAAAACAATACAGAAATAAAAAAAAAGTTTTAAAGTTTCAAGGTACTTTTTACTATTTTATTAGCTTAAATTTTCATTTAACTTAACGGGATTTAGGTATATATTGGCCATGTACTTATAATGCTGAAAATATTGGGTCTAATGCAGATTCCAATATTGAGAATAAAAACCATAGCATCGATAATGCTATGGTGAATGAACTGTTAAGAGGACAATACAACTCTACTATTGATAAAAGATTGCCGGAAACTGTGACATTATTGACGACCCCAGATGGAGGAAAATTATACTTAGTAGGCACAGCACATTTCAGTATTGAAAGTCAAAATGATGTATCAAAGGTAAGCTTCTTAGGTATTTTTTGTATAAAATTTTGACTTCAAGAGATTAATTTTATTAGAAAAATTTAATACATATATGTATCACTTTATTGACTAAATATTTTCTCCTTTACTATAGGTTATACAAGCTGTACAGCCTCACATAGTTGTAGTTGAATTGTGCAGAGCCAGAGTTGGTATACTACAACTTGATGAAGAAGTTATGTTTCGTTATGCCAAAAACATTGATTACAGTGAGTTTCTACGTTTTTATAGCTCTATTCAGTGTATGTCAATGCGTTATTATTTAATTCTAATTAATATTTACAGAGACTATCATGGATACTATTAAGAGAGAAGGACTTTATAATGGTTTACTACATATCTTACTGCTAAGAATGGCAGCACATGTTGCCAAGCAACTTGGTATGCCACCCGGTGGTGAATTCCGAAGAGCATTTGAGGAGGTGTGTGCACATAATGAAAACAGCTATTTTATGATGATAATCGATTTAATTTTTTTATGATTATTTTTATTATTAGGCAAAAAAGGTGCCCAATTGTATCGTTCATCTGGCCGATCGACCAATTAACATAACAATGCAACGCGCGATACGTTCATTATCTTGGTGGCAGACTATAAAATTAGGGTGGCATTTGGCAATAATGAAGGATCCTATTACTCAGGAGGATGTCGAGCTCTGTAAACAACGATCGATGTTGGATGAAATGATCGCTAGCATGAAGGAACAATTCCCGGTGTTGGGAGAAGTGTTTGTCAAAGAGAGGGATATTTATTTGACGAATTCTCTGCAGTTAGCCTGCTTGCCTCATCGCACTTCTAATCGTACTTATGAGCCAGCGCGAGTTGTAGGAATCGTCGGCCTAGGACATACACCGGGGATTATCGAGAATTGGGGTAAAGTCAAACCCGCCGATATACCGCCTATCATGAGGTAAATATAAACGCATAGAGTTAATATGAACAGTTTATATTAAGTCTTCTAATATATTGATATAAAATATATAATTATATATTAAATTCTTATTAAACTCATTAATTGTACATTAAATCATCTTATTAAGTATATATGTATATTAAATCTTTATATTAAATTATTTAATTATATATATTTTAAATTAAATTATATTAAACTCTTATATTAAACCAGGGTTGGGAAGTAACGAGTTACTTGTAACGAAGTTACAGTTACTTTTTCGGTAACTATAACTTAACTTCGTTACTTTTCTCCATCTGTAACTGTAACTGTAACTTAGTTACATTTTTTTAGTAACTGTAACGAGTTATTTTTTAAAATCGTAACTTGTAACTGTAACTAATTACTTTTTAATGAAATAACTGTAACTAGTTACTTTACAAAGTAACTTTCCCAACCCTGTATTAAACTGATGTAAAACCATTACAATTAATTCCATTTTTGCAGCGTACCACCACCGTCATTGTCGGGTAAAATCCTAAAGTTGACCATTAAGGCGTCTGTTCTCGGTGCTGTAATATACATAGGCTACAAGGTCGTAGCTGTACCCGCTGCTACTACTTTCCAAACTATCAAGTCATCGGTCGAGGGACTTTTAAAGGTTGGTGCCACGAAATAGGATTACACATTCGAGTTCTCGTTCTTACCCTTTATTTCTAAGAAGAAATCCTCTTTTTCATCATAAAAACAATTATTTTCTCTTTATCTCCTGTGCTGCCTTTGTCTCTCAAAGAGTTTCTCGGACTTGCTTTTGGGCTTTTTTTATTGACAAACGATGGCGGTAAGCATGGAGGCAACTGCTTCCACAGATGAATATGAACATAGCGTAGCAGATGTTATGTACATAGTAAATAATATACCAGGACCTGGCGTAGACAAAGCAGACTTTGAAGCGGAATTTGCCGTGGGTTGTTTCTGCACAGTTGAATGTCATAATTGCTTGTGCATTCGCGGTTCCGCTAATTATCTCAATGGCCGAATCGTTGATGAAAAATTGGCCGGTCCAGTGTTCGAGTGCAACCCTCGTTGCAAGTGTGGATCAAATTGCGAAAATAGATTAGTACAGAACGGTCCATTAAATTGTTTGATTGTTAAAGAAGTCGCCGGCAAGGGTTTCGGTCTCTATACGACTAAATTGATTAAAAAGAGTCAATTCATTTGCGAATACGCGGGTGAAGTGATCGGTTTGCAGGAGGCGCAACGTAGAATCGAAGACAATAAAACACATAATATGATGAATTATGTTTTCATAGTGAAGGAACATGTTGAAAATCGTGTTATCATCACTTGTATAGATCCGAAATACTTCGGCAACATTGGACGTTACGTCAATCACAGCTGCAATCCCAATTCTAGGCTTATTCCAGTCAGAGTAGAAGGAATCACACCTCGATTATGCGTGTTTGCATCTAGAGATATAGAGAACGGGGAGGAAGTGACTTTTGACTATGCTGATAGTACAACGGCCAATTCCGTCCATTATCTCAGTGATACTCCTTGTCTTTGTGGTTCTAACAATTGTCTCAAATACTTACCACACAGCCAGATTTGACAGCATATTATATTCATGTACAATATTATAATAGTGACAAAGAAATTAGATTAAAATGTTCAAAATTTAAACATCACAGAGATATCATGTAAACTGATTGTAAATTAAAGAAACTTATATTTTAAAACTTGATAGTTTAAAAATCAAAACAAACGTTGCTTTTACTTGACACATATACAAGTGTGTAAGAAAGGAAAAAAAGAATGTATAATGAATGAAATAGATAATAAATTATATATGTATATATACACATATATAACAAATATACATATATATGTATATTTGTTGCATGATTCTTGGCAGTGAATCAATGTTATTATATCTGTTAAAATATAGTATATTTCATGAACAATGAAACACTATATCATCATCATATGCAGTTATATGATTCTACAACATTTCTTTAGATAAAGTATCTAATATCTATTAATTATCTAATATTTTATTTAAATAGTACTTAATAAACGCTGTTCTTCTTTCTATTATATGCAGTTTATCGATATATTATCACAATGTACATCTTTTTATTTTTATTATTATCTTATTACAATATCTCAATCTTTCTGTCAAATCAATTATGTGCCAACATTATATATATGTCTAATTTTTCAAGAAAATTTAAGTATAAATCAATATTTCTTATTAAAAATGTTAAAATATCTCCTATTTGATATTAAATTTTTTACATTTTCTTTATATTTAACAAATTCAAAATAAGTAATCAATATAAAATATTCATGTAATTGAAGAAAATAGGTGACATTAAATTGCTAATGTTGATATATGTATGTAAGTGTTTGACATGTAAAAAGAATGTTCTTATATACATATGTATAAAATCATAACGTATATAATATCTGCTTTTCATTAAAATAGCGGATATCAAGAATCGAATTTGTTAATTGTAATTCTACAATTATAGAATTACAATTATATTTAATGTAAAAAATTATTATGACTATATTTATATCAATCGTTTATATTTTATTTTAGAAGTTTTATAGACATAGAATGCTTCTAGCTTATGTAACATCAAGGCAGTCATAACTTATTAAATTTTTAGATTATCGAAAATCAACGATATGGTATATTTTAGTACCAAAAATATATGCACGTATACATATATATACATACAACACAACGGTAGAATAAAATAATGGCAAGTTTGAGTTATACATAATCTGTTGATTAAATTTTTATAAGAAATCTATAGAGTATATTTTTCTGTAATTGTTGAATGTTATAAGAGAAATTGATGCTTATTAATTAATTTTTACTATATCAACGATGAATATAGTTCTCAATAACTGCCTTTTATATATGTGGATGATAATTTGTAAAAGTACAATTATTTTTAATAAAAACCCAATCAACATTTAATGTTCTATATATATGTATATATATTCATTTATAGAAATTTAATCTAGAATAATATGTATATACTATTAATTAATATTTAATAATATTATTAATATATAAATATTAATTAATAATATTTAAAGGATGACTCTCTCCTATTTGTGTGTATTATATTTTATTATCAGAATATAATTAAGTATATACTTATGCTTGTATCAAAATGTAAATGTAGACAAATAACTTGGCAAGTTTGACTTTTATTGAAACAAATGATTTGGAAATCATTTATGTTTCACTAAATATTATTTTCAAATCTTACCGTTTCTATTCTAAAAATAGATTGCTTATTTTTAGTAATATTTGGACTTATTGCAACGCGATTAATTTTTATATCTGATTGATTTTCTCAATTTATTAATAACATTGTATAAATTTTTTATCCTAGATGTACAGTTTTATTAACTACTTTAAATGGTTGAAATCTGAATCTAAATGTTGTGAAAGAGAAAAGTGGAATTATATGTTGACAATAAAATAATGTACAATGTATGGTGGAAAATATTTATCTATAGCTATCTCTCTATTAATTCTGTTCGAATATGCAATTAAACGAAACAATTTAATATAACAAAGATATAGGATATTGTTTAAAATATTTTCAATAGATTTATTGTGCATCTTTTTAATATATTAATTTATTAAAAACAGCTAGTTGGTTAAAAAAAATAATACTCCTAATAATCTTTTTTTTTTACTTTGATAAGAAAAATGATTGATTTTTTAAATAACATAGTGCTGGATTTAGAATTAAAGAAATGCGTTTATAGAGGATTAATTGTAATTTACGAGAGATATAACTCTGATGTATATATATAAATATATATATATATATACACATATATACATTATATAGTTTTTTATTTTCAAAAACTTGCTATTTCTAAGCAAATCCTAAGCGAAACTATTCGATGTTATATTGGCAGTTAAAATTGTCAAATTTTGTTATAATATTTATAAGAGATACCTTTTAGAGTCTCATAAGTAAGATTCTACGTTTATGTATAGATTAAATTAATATTTAATTTTATAAAATAATTTTTGACTTGACATATAATGTAAAGCAATTTTAATTTGATTTATATATAATGGATGAGAAAAAGTATTTGTACATTTATAAATATATGTACAAAATTTATTTATTTTATGGTGTATGAATACTTTTCTGATCCACTTTATATTTAATGATAATAATGCTGCAACTCTTTGCAAATTAAATATCATAAATTTATATTTATGATATTTTCTAAATTATTATACATACAATCTCTCAACACATGAACGTTATGTTACACAATTATTAAGGCTTTAATTATCATTTAGATAAAATAATGTATTTTAGCGCTAATTTATAAATTAATGCGTAACAGTAGATTCATCATCAGATTGATACCTCCAACGCCACCACGTTACTTTCATTCGATCCCAAATATTCTCCCACGAATCCATCGCAGGTCTCACATCAAGCAACGCAAACTTATACTTTTCATCAATTTTGCCGCCATCATAATAATCGATGATATATCTTACGCTTTTACCACAACGATCTACAATCCAGTCATGTCGATCGAATGGCAATTCATATCTGAAAGGATAATATAATTTAAGTAAACTTAAATAATAAAATATAATTCAATGTATATATATATAAAATTGACATATAGCGAGTCGAAGTTTATAGAACAGCAACGCACCCCATCCAATAGCGAATACGTGCACGTGGAGAATATTTTGATGCTTTTCCACCGAAACTACGCAATTTCGGATTACCACACTCTCGCGCGTGAAGGGCTTCCCATTTAAGAACCTCTTGCCATGCTTGTTCGTTGTTGGCATTGTGAATTTTTATTATGTCATCCATATCTTTTGTGGATATATCATCATTCTTCCATCGCCATCCCTTTCTCAACATAGCATTCCAAAACATTTGTTGAGAGGGGTACACCCAAAATTCTCCTTCCCGTCCAGTCGCTTTAGGTATTGATGAAACCTGTCTATCAGTTGGCAGAGGAAACGGCTGATCCGGTGCAGGTTGCTGATTCTCTGGTGGCATCTATGATTACATTTCTTCATTAATGATACAAGAACAATGTTATTTACAATTAAACACAACATGTATATATTAACTAGTAAAGTAAATCAAGCATTATACTTACCATGTTTAATGGATTTATTTCGCTTTCATCCATTTTGTCTATTGGACATTCGCTGACATAACTTATGGTGTTTAATTGACCTGATTTATGCATAGGACATTCCGGTGGTGGTTCACCTTGATATTTATCCATTTTATGAGAATCTGGCTTAATAATTTGTTGAGATGCTGGTACTATCACATTAGTAGCTGACACAGATGCCGTAGTAAGAGCGTTGCCCATGATTGTTCTTTTTATAATGGAAAAAAGACAAAATCCTTATAAAAATACACAATATAAAGTCAACTACTGATATTTCAAATAAGATCAAACTAATTGAGAAAATTTCAAAGATCAAATTTTGGATGAAATAACCTTTAAATCTAATGTTGAGATTATGCAATGATTTACAGTCTCCGATATCAAATAGAATATTGAGATATTTGTGCTAAAATTATATTTACGCAATGTGATGGGATACCGTCTGTGGTTTATGTCAAAATTAAGAATTTTCAGTGAATTTTCTCGAACTTACAGTAGTGTGTGTATTCCAGTAGATATAATAAATATTGAAATTTCTTAATTTGACCTCCTCTTTCAATTTCGCACTTTACTGAGAGAATTATTATATAATCCAAGATAAACAACTGAGAAAGATTCTAATGTAAATTATATATACAAATTGTATATATATCTAAGAAAATTGAAACATCTGAATTCCGAATTTTCTCTCAAGCAGACATGATTTGTATCAGTGAAAATGAGAGAGATGGTTGTGCAATCACTTCGAATTTTATTATCAAATGGTTATTTTTAACTCGCAAAAATAAACATGAATTTATGATATATATTTTTTTGGAATTTAATTTCTGTCTTTAGGTAGAAGAAATTTCATTTAATTCCATCAATTTTATGTTGGAAAGTACATCGGGCGTCTACAATGTCGCAGAAACGGCGAATACGTCATCCATGACGTTGCGGCGATCGAACTTCCAATTGGTGGACAAAAACCCGATCAGCCAATCAGCGCGCGTTTCAGGCGCATTGTCGCGCGCAACGTTTGCAAGTGCAGCAGTTGGCCAGCCTGACTTTCCTTCGTGAAATCAAGTGGACGGTCGTGTCGTGAATCGCTCCGCGTTTTTCGCAATTATTTTCGCGAATTCCGTGTAAAAATGGATCTCGCGAGTGATTATCGCGAATATCTATAACAAATCGAACGTTTCTCGTGATCGTGTCGAATATCGCAATAGTTATTCGTTGATATATCGTGCGCGAATTATTGTCCTTGATACCGCGCGATTGACTCGACTTCGATATTCATTTCGGCACAAAGTCAACCGACGTCGTTTTCGTATATTATTGCCGCGAAAAAATGGATCTCGCGAGCGGTTATCGTGATTATTTCGCAAAGCGTCGAAAGTTACTCGTGATCGCGTCGAATATCGCGTGCAATAATTATTCGTGCGCGATGTATTTATTTTGGCGCGAAATCATAACCGGCTGGCCAATCAGCGCACGCTCCAGACGTTACGTCACGCGCAGCACTTGCAAATGCAACAGTTGGCCAACTTGATTCTCGTCCGCGAAATCAAGTGAAATGGTCGAACGTCGCGACGTGAATTTAATCGTTCCGCATTTCTCATAATTATTGTCGCGTAAAAGTGGATCTTGCGCGTAATTATCGTGATTATCTCGTAAAGTGTCGAATGTTCTTCATCGTGATCGCGTTCAATATCGCGTACAATAGCCGTTTGTCGATATATCGTGCGCGAAATTGTTCGTTGATATATCGCGAATACGAGTGACCCCGGCATTCATTTTGGCGCGAAATAAATCGTCGTCGCCTTCGTGTAAAGAACGAGCGCGTTGAAAAAATTAAAATGTAAGTATGATTAATCGTCCTTTTTCGTTCGAAATAACAAGTATATATTTTGCATGTATGTGATTAAATTAAAAATGTTGAATTTACAGATGCAGATGATATGCAACTGGATCAGGTATATGGTGGTTGAGTGAGTAATAAAAATTTGCATTATGCTTTACATAATTGTGTGTATAGAAAAATATCGCTTTATTTGCAAAATGTGCCTATCATTCGAACATGCTGCGAATTCTGCGCATGTAACTGTATATAAATCTATTTTATTTCATAAATTATACTTTCAGACCTATATATTTACATATTTTTATATATCAATAATATATATATTTATTTAGAAGATGTGAAATTTAATCGTAAAGTGCGCAAAACTGCTGCACGATATTCTTGAAAATTTTATTAATAAATATAATAATTTTGATATATCGAAAATAATAATTTTCATCTCGTTAATGATTTGCTAATAATAGAGAATTTTTAATTGATATTTTATTACATGAATTTTATTGTATATTTTATGCAGGATATTTTATATAAATACAGATTGCTATCGCGTCTTATAAAAAAAAATAAGCATCTTTTTTCAAGTCAATGTTCTGCAGATGTATTATTTTTGAGATCCTATTTTTTTTATATTTTAGTATAATACACAAAGAAAATTTTCTCTTAGAATTTATCCTGAAAATCATGGCAATCGTGAGACAATGTGATATTGGAACATTGAGTTTCTCTGTGATTTATATTTATTACTACAATAAAAAATATTAATATCTATCACAATAAGATATATGAAATATGTTCAATTAATGTACATAGGAAAATTTCTCAAACATATTTTATATCTTATTATGGTAGATTTATTAATATTTTTTATTCTAGTAAATATATTAATCAGAGAAACTTTTATAAAATTCGTCCAATACCATACTGTCCCACGATTTACCATGATTTTCAGGATAAATTCAAAGAGAAAATTCATTCTGTGTATATTTGCTTATGTATATATAAATAATTCTTATAAAGATTTTATTTGTAAAAAATAATATAGTAAACAAAATTTTGCCAAAAAATAAGCCCAAATATATTTTAATAATAATAATATATAAATTGTTAAATAAATTTATTTTTTGACAAAACTACATTAGTACCAGTTTGTAATTTAGCTAATTGTAAGATATCCTGTATAATAAAAGAAAAGTAAGTATACATATCAAAATGAGAAACAAGTAATGGAGCATACTATTTAATGCTTTTTTTAATTAAAATACTTGTAATATATACATTCAGTACATACACTTTAGGACGCAAATAATAAAACAATCTTAAATCTGAACACGTTTCGTGCGAGCTTTTGTCGATACGCGCGTACAAAATAATAAATGTGAAAAAATTTAACAATTCGACAAAATAATCAAATGCACTACTACTAATATACATATAATAATATATAATAAGTAATTATTATTTATAACTGGCCATCTTTCTCGTAATTACTTTTGCTTGAGCTACGAAATAGAAGAAAAGAGATTAAATGAAATAGTTTGCATTTTGCGCTGACTGTTCAGAATTTCGTAATTATCTATTATAATATCGATGCACATCGACACTTAATGCCGCATGGATTAAGCATCTTATATATAAGGTATGTATAAAAAAATTATCCTAAAATACTACAAAATTACATGTGTTAATAACACTGGAAAAGTTATAACGCGAATTTAAATAAATCAATATCGTGAATCGACGCTTTTTTCTCTCGAAAAATCAATATTCAATATCTATACTTTTTCTTCTTCGCACTTTCGCGCGACTATTTTTAATTATTTTTTTTTTTTTTAATGACTGACTTCTAATAAATGATGAAATTTATCTGCCAATAATGCGAAAGATTTTTTATCTTCAATATCTGGAAATAGATACTTCTGACTAAATTCGATTAGCTTGTAATTTTGACAATTTCGTTACAAAGCTAATTTCAAATGCGAACACAGATTAAAAAAAAATATATCTCATATTTAAAAACACTTCATGAGTATTTATAAATAATCTCCATTTGTCTAGAAATACATACACTGTAAAAAAATATGTAAAATTACATAAAAATATGTAAGATTATATAAATAATAAGTGTAAATTATGTGCATGATAAATAATGAAAATATACACATTTTCATTATTTATCGTGTAATTTTACACTTAATTATTTGTGTAATGTTATATATTTTTAAGTAATATATTACATATTTTTTTACAATATAGATATTTTTACCGCGAGAGAAATATGCAGCTATGGGTATACTGAAAAAAGTATACCCAGCTACAACAAAATAAGATACATTTTTTGCAATCTCAGTATATCACTAGTCTCTTTACATCGTTAGTCTCGTCTCTAAAAAATTCGACGCGTTATATATACGAGGTTGTTTTAATTATTCCTCGTGATCTTTGTGGACTCCTTGTTGCTGGTGACATGTTCAAGATCGACTCCATCGTATTCCACACCGCCCGTATTGTCGTAATACGCGTAATCGTAATCGTTCTTCTTGCTCGATTTCGGTCGCGCTGTCGTGCTACTGCTGCTGGGTAATCTGGTCGTTGACGTAAACGGTCTCGCGGATCCGCTAACGTAGGTAATGCCACGCGGCGTCGTCGTCGTCGGTTGATGGGCTCTTTGAGAGCTAGAGCTAAAGTTGTTCGGATTGTAAGTGGTAGCGCTAGAAGGTCGCCTGTAAAAAAAAAGACATTAATCGATCTTTTCTTACTGTCAAGAGCAGTCTTTCAAACGAGAACAAAAAGAAGAAATATTTTAATATAATTTTTAAATAAAATTTTCATAAATTTTCGAAAATCTGCTCATATTCTTTTTATATTTTTAAAATCATCTAATTTTTTTTTAATTTTTGCAATTTTTTTTCGTGAAATCTAAGACTGAACGCAAATTTAGACAATATAACATTCTCTTTTTTTAAACGAATCGAAAATCTACCTCGGTACCGGCGTGGTGGTTCTCGGCGATTCGGCAAGATGATTGATACTCGCGGGACTGAAGCCGATTCCGATAGAAGATCTCCCGAGGTCGAAGCTACCCGTGCTGGTCTCGATGTAATACGACTTGCCGCCACTCGCTCCGTCGTAATTATTATACTGAGTCGCCTTCTTCGGCGTCTTCGTGTTCTCGTAGTATTGCGTGGAAGGCTTGATGGTAGATTTGTCGTAGTATTGATTGTTGTCATTGTTCCGGAAGGCAGTCGTCTGCGCGACCGTATTGTCCCCGTTTACGTACTTCTTCGTCGCCGGGCTATAAGTGGTGGGCGCGTAACTGTTCGCAAAATTATTGGCAAAATATTTCGCGGTGGTCTGAGGAACATCCTGTTTAGTAGATGTAACTGATCTATACTGGCCATTGTTATTGTTGTTGTTGTTGTAATGATTATTATAAACGGTAGACGCGGATGTAGTGGATGGGTAGGCAACGTTGCTGGTTCCTCGTTGGATGTTGTTGTAGCTTCTCTGCTGATAATTGTTGAAATCACTAGTCTGTTGGTAGTTGGTGCTCGGCTGAACGGTGGTGGTGGACTGCGGGAATTGATAGTTAGATTGATAGTTAGCCTTCGGGCTATAGGTGCTGGGTCTCAGAGTTGTGACTGGGAAGGAACTGCTGACAGCAGTCTGTTGATTGTAATTAGGGTTGAAAACGTTGAAAACATTCGTGCTGTAGACATTATGCGGGGGCGTCGTTCTGACAGTTGTGCTCGGTGATGACTGGTGGTTATTGTACGTATCCTGATACGTCGTGCTAGGTCGATACGTCGTGGATGACGGTACATTGTGTCTCTGGGTGTTCTGATTTCGGTTGTAATTCTCCTGTAACGGTCGAACGGTCGTCGACGAGGCGACGTACGTCGATGATCGTTGATTGTACGCGTTGTTGTTGTAATAATTTCCGCTGTAATAATTGCCATTGTAGCTGTGCTGAGTAGGAGCTGGCGTTGACGTGGTGGTGGTCGTCGACGAGTAACCGCTACCGTTGTACGGTTGCTTCCTGCTGACCTTCCTGACACCGCCAACCTTCTTCTTCGTATCTTGATTCACCTCTTCCTTGTACGACTTCTCGGTCTCGTATTCGTCCTCCTTGTTGTTTCTATTGTACAAATTGCCGCTGCTGCTACCTCGCAGTATGTCGCGGTTGTTGTTGTTGTTGTTGTTGTTGTAATTGGACGAGGACACTCGGTTCACCGCGTTAGCTGAGGATCGAACTGCGTCACTGGTTTCGCTGCGTTGAAGATGATCCTGGGGCTCGGCGTCGCTGCGCAGACTATCGTAGTGCACAGACTCGAGACCGGAACCGATTCTGTATAGGTCGAAGTTGTCGCTGGAGTAATAGAGAGTTGCGGCCTCGCAATCTACGTCGTACCAATCCGCGCAGGTTTGACTCTCCTGATCGAAGGCAGTGTCATTGGGACACAGGAATCTAAGTAAAGATAATTAGATATATATAATCGTTGATCTATAAACTCCATATTAATTCAATATCTGATACACACTTAATTATATTTTTTTTCATTTATTATTTTTAATAATTGCAAGTAAATATTCGTATACTCGTCGTTAAAAAACTATATATATATTTTATAAAAATATATATACAGGGTGTATCTAAATAAGTGCAAAAAATTTTAAATAAGAAATCCCCCTTAATTTTCGACAAAGAATTATCTCTCCTAAAATTTTTCGCACTTATTTAGATACACTCTATATAATATATACGTTTTTTTAACAACGAGTATATGAATATTTATTCGCGATGATTAAAAATAACTATTAAAAAAATATATTTTTTTAATAAGACAATTATTTAAGAAATAAAATATATTGTATATTAACAACACGTATACGAATATTTATTACCCAAAATTATTGATAAAAGTTGATAAGAATTTATTTATACCAATCGCGGAAAAGATTTTGCAACACTCACTTATAGTCCTGAATGGTGCCAGCCACAGAGACACAGACATGGAAGACTTGGCAATCGGTCTCAGGGTCCGCGTAATAGCTACCGACTATTTTGTTGCGACAAGAGAAGGAAGTTTCCGGCATGTACTGTTGGGAATATCTCGGCGGTGGTCGTTGGAGACCTAGTACGCAACTCCATAGTATTCCCACTGAAACATAAAACCGAAAGTGTGTTACGAAAATTTTTATATATACTTAAAGTATAGGATGCATGAGACACTGTGTCATTTGAATTTATTTAGTATCTATTATCTCCTGTAATTTCCTATGAGAAAAACTTTTTGCTTAGAATTTTACGTTGCTAAAAAACTTGTCACGCACGGAATAGTTGCATTATAGCTCATAGGAAGAGAAAACGACAAAATTTTAATCTATTGCATTAAACATTAGACTTGTAGACTGTAAAGATCAATTTTAAAATTGAATAAATAATATGTACTAATTTTGTAAAAAAAATTAACATTTAAATGCTTATCAATATGATAAAGCACATGTTAGAAATTATAATAATAGAATGCACGTTGTGTCGATATAATTTTTCAAGTTCACAATTTTTCCGCGGTTTGCTTTAAAATCATTTGCATTTTCATGGCATTAAAAAAAATTACGTCATTCATTACGTCTCATGAATGGAATCGTAGGTTGCAAACACGCGATATTTAAATTCTCGAACGTCTATTTGCAAATCAATGAAATTCCAGTAGCAAGCTATAAACTCGATAGATGTCGATGCACCTTTCTTCAGGGTATCTGTATGCACAAAACAGTGTAGATACTCAAGTAGACATGACCGCATGTATAGGGAGATTGTTTCGATCGAATACACATTCAGTTTTCTATTAGAGAATACACTGCCGGTTTTCTATTAGAACGTGTTTTAAATAAGAAACATCGTTTAAACCATCGTAGAACGTATATAAAACCTTTCGAAGCATGCAAATACTTAAGCGATTTTTAATCATCACATTCAAGTAGCAAATAAAAAATCGAATGTTATTTCGAAGAGGAATACAAATATTTTAATATGTAAAATTTTTACAAACATATTAGAAAAATAATTTATTGTTACTCGCGTATTTATTCACATCTTTATTGTCTCACTTTTAAAACTAAGTATAATTGGGGAAAAGGTTTCGCAAAAATAAAGAGATATTTATTAGAAGAGAAAAAGAGAGAGGAAAATTAAGATAAAAATTCTTCTTAGACATATTATATCTTTGTATACAAAAGAATGAAATTTTACCAAGACGACCACGATATTTATTCATTCCATGAATATAATATTCATGAATTTTTGCAAATATTGTCGGGCACGAAAGACGAAACTGCGCGATTTTTCCATCCGATCTCGCGGTAATTAAAATCAATTTCACCCCGTGTCGAGAGTAGAAACCTACCCGAGATTAGGACGAGCTGCCGCCTCCAGGTGAACTCCATGTTTGCGGATGTTCTCTTCACTTCGGATTCGATTAACACTCCCGCGTTACCTGCGCGATCGGACTCGTGGACGCGACTGCAACCGCGGTGGAGTATCTTCGGGCCCGAGAAGAAGAGGAGACGCGCGCACGAAGAAGAAGATGCTTTCTGGGAGGATCGAACCGCGGCCAGGTAGGGGCCCTCTCGTCGTCTTCGCGCGGGAGAAAGAGAGAACGTGTACACACGGCGGCCCCCGAGAGTTCTCTGGAACGTAACGTCTCTCTCGTTACATCACCTCTCTAGTAACCGGGCTCGTTTCTTCGCCAAGCAGCCCCCGCGGCGAACGATGGCACGTATTTTATGTATGTATATATATGTTTGTACGTGGGTACGTGCGGCGCATACCTTCCTTGGATGACTCCCGCGTATAACTTACACCGTTTTGCATAGGTGGGATATACGGAGAGATAAGTGGATAGGAGATCTCGGAGAAACCGCGAGAGACATTATCATCTGCTAAAGAGAGCCCTGTCTCGCGCGCGATGCAAACGATAATACGTAGGCGATCGGCTATTGTGTCGCGTAGAAGACCATGCACGATGAAAACTTTACGGACGACGCTTCTGTAGGTTGATGACGGTATATATATTTGACTTAGAGAGTCATCGAGAGGATAAAGCGCTTTGTAGAGGACTGCGAATAGAAGAATGTCTCGCGCGGGATGATCAGCGTTTTAGTGTCAATTCTCGGTTATGATGAGACTCTAATAATCAAGGAGGAAACGAGCGGTAATATATATACCTATATTGATAGCGTTTATAGTTTCGATATGACATATCACGAATTTTTTTATCCGATTATTTTCGCGATAATGAGATGAGTTTTGCGCGATACGCGATGGAAGAAAGTTCGCGTTTTGCATTGAATCGTCCGTGAAAGGAGAATAAATATCGCTTGAATGGAGATAGATGCAAGAAGCCGAATGCTTTTTAGGGACAATTATTGTAATGGAATCTCAAAATGATTATGTTTTGTATAAAAGGAATACGTGGTTGTCCTTATACGGAAAGAAACATATCTTCCATATATCTTCGTTCAGAATTATATACATATACATATTAGAATGTATGTAATTTATACTTTTTAAGAATTTAAGAAAAATTTTTTTTTTAATATTGACAACTATCTCAAGTCTAGGGAAAATGGATTAAAATACTGTTTTCCTCTCTCCCAATCTTTCAATTTTTTCGATATTAATTTGATATCAGTCTTAAGCCTCTCTTAAACAATTTCTATAATCTGCAATAAAATCAAGGGAGAAATTTACTCATAATTTAACGTCATACATTTTACTTTCACAATATTTTACAGTATTATATGTACGTGACACTTAAAAATTATAAGTAGAATTCTATAATAAAGTCATGAATTGTGTAAATCATCTAAAGTAAACTCTCTCTAATTTTTTTATTTAATTGTACGTTATTTCTCAGTAAAACTTATTTTCAAAATACCCACACTAATATTAAATGAAATGGATTTCGGTTAAATCAGTTTTTTTTGTATCTTGTAGCTTATGACCTGCTGAACAAAAGATTCAAAGGCCTCAAAGATAAATAATGAACAATTATTAACTTACAGCCAGTCAAACAGCTGACAAAACCTGAGTTTTTCATGTTTGACTGATTGTAAATCAGTACCTGTCTATTATTTAACTTTAAGTCTATTACAGTTTTTATTCAGTAAGTCATAAGCTACAATATATGAGAAAACCAACTGATTTTATCGGGATTCAATTTCATCTAAGATTTCATAGAAATTAAAAAATTCTACTGGTAAAATCTGCTGGTTTTCTCATATATTGTATGTTGTAGTTTATGACTTGTTGAATAAAAAAATGCAATAGGCTCAAAGCTATAAATAATAAACAGTTATTGACAGCTAGTCAAACACGAATGAAAACTCCGATTCTGCGAGTTGTTTGACTAGCTGTAACTCTATAACTGTCCATTATTTAACTTTGAGGCTATTACATCTTTTATTCAGTAAATGATAAGCTACAACATATGAAAAAACCAACCGATTTAATCGAAATCTATTTTACATAAGAAAGTAGCACGAGTTACTTAAGTTTGAAAAGAGTAGCAACCTTTAAGTAATCTACGTATCTATTTTATTTCTCTTTTAAGAGATTTTTCGCACAAATCTTAGCAAAGAGAAAATGAAGAGAATGTAAATATCTCGCCTCTCTCCTCTTTACGCTTCTCGTCTGCCAGCGCAAGTTCGGCGTGACCGGTCGTCTGGTGGCCTTTGCCAGCCAGAGATCGCCGCGACTCTCGTTGCACTCGTCGGAGGGTGCATCCGAAGGAGTGCTCGGCTGCATTCCAGCGGCAGCAGCCCGGAGGGAACGCGACGGACGGGGGTAGAAATCGTGTCGTTTAGAAGGTTCGGATTGCCGCGTCCGCGAGGTCGTTTCCTTCACCCGAGAGAGACCACGTTCTAACGATGTTAGATATTTCGAATTGTTGGAAATCGTGAAATTCACGCGCGGATAATTGCCAAGGCGGGGTCCGTGAATTGTTCGTTTTTTCATTACATATTATTTAGCTTTTGTTCACGAAACGATTTTCGATCCCTTCTCGGAAAAACGCGCAACGAAACTTTCTCGCGAGTTTCTCCGATATCAGAGATACTGCGACGATACTCGGTAAGGGACGGACAAGCGATCTCACACACCGTTAGAAATCGTCCGCGATCTGGAGGAGGAGAAGGATTCGTTATTAAGTGGAATTGCGACGGTCGATTCTTCGCGAAAGATTAGATCGTTTCCGCGGAATCGAAACCCCGAAGCGGCGCGAAACACGCGAAGACGTTTGTCTGCGAGTGCAGGAGAAGTCACGTGGCCCGATTCACTTGCCGCCGTCGCACGAAGATCGAGGTCGTACCTCGACAATCGAAATTTCGCAATTCAGCCTGCCTTGCATCCTGTGCCGCGCCGCATCGCGCCAGTGCAATGCCTTAAAGAGAGAGAGAGAGAGAGAGAGAAGGAGAGAAGCGAAAGAACTCCACGATATACGGCTACAGAGTCGAAGTAACGTCGCGCAAAATCGTCGTTGCATTTGCGACTTGTGAAAACGACACGAGACACGAGACTAGCTTTCTTAAATGTTTGCATTTCGCGATAGACATCTGGCCTGTTTTTAAAATGTATTTTTAACATGTAATACTAACTAGACAAGTAACCAAATTTAATACAATATGTATTTCATTTTTCTACTCGCTGATGTTTCATTATTCAATCTACATATTCATGCAAAATAATAATTTGATAGACAATTTTCAGTAGTACGGATAAATTGATTTGAAAATCTTTTATACGGAGACAATTTTCTCTTGGAATTTACCCTGAAAATCATGGTAATCGTGGGACAATATGATATTGGAAGAATTTTATGAGTTTCTTTAATTAAATATTTACCATAATAAAAAAATTTTAATATATGCATAGCAAATTTTACTATGTACATAGTAAAATTAAACGAGCATATTTTATATCTTATTGTGATTAATATTTCTTATTGTAGTAGATATTAATCACTATTATAGAAACTTCTTATCGAAACTCTCAAGAAACTCATAAAATTCTTCCAATACCATTTTGTTCCACGATGACCATGATTTTGAGGATAAATTCTAAGAAAAATTCTCTTCGTGTATGTATACATATACATCGAGAACAATATGTAAAATATAAATGTTTTGCGAAAATCGATCCTTTAATTCTAGCTCATTAACTCCTCTTTCGTCGGTCTACGCGATATCCATTAGCGATTAGAGACTCGTTTCGACACCACACGTACGTGCCCAGTAAGGGGGTAATTAACGAGTCGGACTTTATATTTTTCAATGGTCGTTCGTCTCTCTATTACGCGCGCAGCGATGAGTTTTGCGCCGCGAGGAATCTTCTCAGCCTTGGAGGGCGAAAGTTGTCTTCGGTTCGCTCGTAGATGGAACGATATTTGCACCTATAGCCTAGGCGATTGTCGTCGTGCGATTGCGAGCGTAAAGTGATTTCAACCTCTCGTTTTGCACGGCTCAAATTTGCAAACGGTACATTTTATGTTCGATAAAGCGATTTGGATGTTGGGGAGAGAAGGAGGAATTCCTTAGGATCGCACAAGCTGATGATACGATAGTAACGATAGGATAATGACGGGGACACGAACGGATAATTATATCTACGATTACAGTCTAGCCTCGTGCGAATCATCTCTTAATTAATTTCACATTACATGTCACATATATTTCAAGAAGCGACTCTGTGAGAATCTAAAATGACTTTCAAAGACTGGCAATTTAGAGTTTTGGCAAAATCTTGACATGCGAGATGTTTAGTATTTACAATTTAGTAAATGCCATAATTTTGTTAATGTTTCCAAGTTTTACAACAAATGCCTTTTTACAAAGCACTCGGAAAATAATCTCAAAAAATTATATATATTTACATTGATATTACAAAATATGATAAAACTATGGAGAAAATATTAAAATAATATTAAAATAAATATTAAAATAAATTGTAAAAATTTGTTGAATTTAAATAATAAATTGAACTATTTTCTTATTTATTCATAAAATAAAAATTAAAAAATTATTCTTTAAATTGAAATTTTTGAGAAATGTTTGTGTGAAACATTTATATAAATAACATACACAAATAATTTTATGTATTTTATTATTTTTTCGAGTGATCTAATTTATTTCAATGTGAAATATTAGATTATGTCGACATGCAAAACCACAGAGCACGTCGGTTTACGAAATAGCCTAATCTAATTTTGTTAATTGTAAGTATATTGTGTGAGAAGCAATTAAGTTAGAAGTAAAAATGTAAGATTTAGAATATACTGTAATAATATCAAGAAAGTTACGGCTATTTAAATTATGTAATATTCGTCGAGAGAAAGAAAGTTTCGAGAAAAAAACTTTCGAACTTTACGAATTCGATACAAGTTAATTTAGCATATAAACGAGCATTAATTATGAAATTTCGATTCAATTAATCAAACGAATTCAACTCGTATATTGCAATATTCGATTGGTTAGAAATGTTGGGTTTTTTCCATCTTTCCTTTATCTATTTACTCTCTCGCAAATTTCAAGTAATCGAGCAGGTATATATCTGTATATTTATAGTAAAAAAATATATGATTTGTGTGTATTATTTATGAATATTTCGCAAATATTAGAAATTCCATT